CCCTGCTCTCCTCATCGACTGTCCCTACGAACTACCTTGACATTTCATTCCCTTTAGATCTTTTGGGCCCGTATGTAAACCTGGGGTGAATTAAGCGATGTTCCCGGTCATGAAAGGGCCGCGGGCGAACATCGCTGCAGCTCTAGCCAACGTTCCAATTTATAGTTACAAAATCTTCTGAATCAAAAAACATCCCTTCCTCATCACGAAATATGCGTTGTTGGAAGCTTGCTCAGAGTCTTTTCAATTCAAAAGTTCTAATTCCAAACTCCCGTTCGCGTTCTATATGGGCTTTTCAAATTATTCAACACCTATGATAAGCCCAACTCCAGTGTCTACCTCAATTTCCAGCTCATCTTAGTAGGCTACTGACTTGAATATAATCAAGAATGCTACTATCAAAGTGTATATCCAATTTCAACTGTTCATCCAAACACTGTCTATACGATTTTGAGGTTGTGCAATGTTTTGACAAAATTACGGAAACAGCATCATTATATTGTTAATGATAATTGATAGAATCTTTTTAGATCATTGATTTTTTGGTCAGTTTTGCCAATTCTTTGGTTTGAATATACTTGTACCGTGTTTTTTTTTTGTATTTACTGATACAAAATGGCAGATGATGATCGTTTTGAGATCAAAACGTTACTCTCAAAAAAACTGCTCAGCTTCTAGAAAAATTCCACATAAATGCAGCCACATTGGAGGTGCTGCTCAAATCGCTTCATTTTTATTTCGAGTTTCTCAGAAAAAACTTCAATTGGCTTCTTCTTGAGGCATAGAACTTTGCAGCAATTATGAAATCCTCAAATCTAATATAATTTTAACATAAGTGAAAAATTGCTCATAAAAGTGAGATTGCATATGTTGGTGCGCTTTTGTTGCTCTAGGAGCGATCAGAGTTGCATAAAAGGAGAGATAGTTGTAAGAATCAGAAATAGTCACAGAAACGATGAGGTGCGAAAAGACAGGTATCACAGGGCGATGGGAATGATAGCCTTCCAGATGAAACAAACGATGGTAGAATACCTTACCCGTCTTTAGATTGATAATGGAGTCAAATCGTAGCTGAAATAAAGCGAAATATCGTGAAGCGGTTATGAGACTAATCGATCTCACCGCTTAGGAGTTGTGGTAGCAGCGTTTGACTGCTCGTGCCTGCGTAAGGAACCTTGATAAACAATAGCGAAGACAGACAGTCTGATGGCAAAGATCACTTGTACCAAAAAGGGCAGTGGTAAAGTGCAGGTTCGTGGAGCATAGTGGTAAAGGGCAGTGGTAAAGTGCAGGTTCATGGAGCATAGTGGTAAACAACCCAAACATGGCACGAACAGACCGACACTGACGTCAGATGGGGGTGCCTGCGCTTTATTAAAGAGTATGAACAGACAGACAGAGAGACAGACAGACAGACAGACAGACAGACAGACAGACAGACAGACAGACAGACAGACAGACAGACAGACAGACAGACAGACAGACAGACAGACAGACAGACAGACAGACAGACAGACAGACAGACAGACAGACAGACAGACAGACAGACAGACAGACAGACAGACAGACAGACAGACAGACAGACAGACAGACAGACAGACAGACAGACAGACAGACAGACAGACAGACAGACAGACAGACAGACAGACAGACAGACAGACAGACAGACAGACAGACAGACAGACAGACAGACAGACAGACAGACAGACAGACAGACAGACAGACAGACAGACAGACAGACAGACAGACAGACAGACAGACAGACAGACAGACAGACAGACAGACAGACAGACAGACAGACAGACAGACAGACAGACAGACAGACAGACAGACAGACAGACAGACAGACAGACAGACAGACAGACAGACAGACAGACAGACAGACAGACAGACAGACAGACAGACAGACAGACAGACAGACAGACAGACAGACAGACAGACAGACAGACAGACAGACAGACAGACAGACAGACAGACAGACAGACAGACAGACAGACAGACAGACAGACAGACAGACAGACAGACAGACAGACAGACAGACAGACAGACAGACAAACAGACATTCAGCTTTATATATAGGACCAGTCCAAAGCGCCGCTTCGCGGCGCTTTGGACTGGCTATGTGTGTGTAGTGAGATTGACTGTCAAAGACAGAACTTGGGAACCTTTTCTTCAAAAGTATGGCACGGATTTTTCAGACATTTAAAAACCCAGAAATTATCAAAGTTAATTGTGAGGATCTTTTTTGCTTTATGTGGTTTCCTAAGTTCTATTAACAAAAGTGCCAACAGAATTTCAACCGCTTCCTCCCAGCTTTCCAGGTAGGTATGCTCTTGCGCTTTGCAAACTTGCGTATTGCTGTCTCCTGAGTTCTTTGAGCCAAACTGCATCCCCCTCTCCTCCCATTCTTTTTCATCCAATTTCCTTCATGAAACTCCCGAACTACCAATCTTTTCTGCCATTCCACATCCTTTAGATCTTACTTAATCGCTTTCGAATCTTGCCCCAGATGTGCTGCTGTTGAGAAAATGCGAACTGCGCCTTTACAGTCCCCCGAATCAGGCCAAAATTGGCATGTTGTGCCGCGCACGCCAAGATTTTCCGTCATGTCTGCTGTTTGCTAATAGTGGTTAGTTGGGACCTGTCTGTTCCCACCTTTTCTTTAAACTCCCCTGCAAGGAAATGCAGCGCAAGCCCTTAGCGTTTTCGTGCGGTTTTGAGGCAACGTTTTAGCGTGATCACCTTTCGACAAACTGTAGCTGCCAAAGTGGCTCATTCACACATTTTGTGAAAATCCTCGGATACCCTCAAATTCTCACATTCAGAAATTTTTTGACAAAGTGGCCGTCACGTCACAAACTCGGCAAGCTTTTCCCAGATACAGCTGTGTACATTCCTCCTGACTCTTTTCACCCGGGGCCCTGCTCTCCTCATCGACTGTCCCTACGAACTACCTTGACATTTCATTCCCTTTAGATCTTTTGGGCCCGTATGTAAACCTGGGGTGAATTAAGCGATGTTCCCGGTCATGAAAGGGCCGCGGGCGAACATCGCTGCAGCTCTAGCCAACGTTCCAATTTATAGTTACAAAATCTTCTGAATCAAAAAACATCCCTTCCTCATCACGAAATATGCGTTGTTGGAAGCTTGCTCAGAGTCTTTTCAATTCAAAAGTTCTAATTCCAAACTCCCGTTCGCGTTCTATATGGGCTTTTCAAATTATTCAACACCTATGATAAGCCCAACTCCAGTGTCTACCTCAATTTCCAGCTCATCTTAGTAGGCTACTGACTTGAATATAATCAAGAATGCTACTATCAAAGTGTATATCCAATTTCAACTGTTCATCCAAACACTGTCTATACGATTTTGAGGTTGTGCAATGTTTTGACAAAATTACGGAAACAGCATCATTATATTGTTAATGATAATTGATAGAATCTTTTTAGATCATTGATTTTTTGGTCAGTTTTGCCAATTCTTTGGTTTGAATATACTTGTACCGTGTTTTTTTTTTGTATTTACTGATACAAAATGGCAGATGATGATCGTTTTGAGATCAAAACGTTACTCTCAAAAAAACTGCTCAGCTTCTAGAAAAATTCCACATAAATGCAGCCACATTGGAGGTGCTGCTCAAATCGCTTCATTTTTATTTCGAGTTTCTCAGAAAAAACTTCAATTGGCTTCTTCTTGAGGCATAGAACTTTGCAGCAATTATGAAATCCTCAAATCTAATATAATTTTAACATAAGTGAAAAATTGCTCATAAAAGTGAGATTGCATATGTTGGTGCGCTTTTGTTGCTCTAGGAGCGATCAGAGTTGCATAAAAGGAGAGATAGTTGTAAGAATCAGAAATAGTCACAGAAACGATGAGGTGCGAAAAGACAGGTATCACAGGGCGATGGGAATGATAGCCTTCCAGATGAAACAAACGATGGTAGAATACCTTACCCGTCTTTAGATTGATAATGGAGTCAAATCGTAGCTGAAATAAAGCGAAATATCGTGAAGCGGTTATGAGACTAATCGATCTCACCGCTTAGGAGTTGTGGTAGCAGCGTTTGACTGCTCGTGCCTGCGTAAGGAACCTTGATAAACAATAGCGAAGACAGACAGTCTGATGGCAAAGATCACTTGTACCAAAAAGGGCAGTGGTAAAGTGCAGGTTCGTGGAGCATAGTGGTAAAGGGCAGTGGTAAAGTGCAGGTTCATGGAGCATAGTGGTAAACAACCCAAACATGGCACGAACAGACCGACACTGACGTCAGATGGGGGTGCCTGCGCTTTATTAAAGAGTATGATTTAATTTGTGCAATGAGAATAGAAGTTCAAAAATTGTACGAGCTTCATCGTTTTCCATTCTATAGCTGTCAAATGTGGTGAATGCAAATGTTCAGCCATTTGTAATTCTGATATTTTATGAAGTAGCAGTTCATTTTTTGTGTCTTTTTATGCAAAAACGCGCCATTTTCGCAAGTTTGGATATACGCCTAAGTCGTGTTCAGGTTGGGTATGTTCAGGGTAGTTGAAGAATTTCAGTTTTTGGCTCTGAACTTTACCTGAACTACGACCTAAGTGGATCTTTGTCGAAATATAGAGCTTGCTTTTCTGTAGTGGGATACCCCAAGTATGCTAGGAAAACGCAAACAGTTTGATTCATTTAGAAAAGGATACCTTTAGAAGAACCTAAAAGTATCTTGCAGTTTCGGGAAAGTACATAATCATGAAGTTGGATATCCAAGCTATAAGTGGACTCGTCTGCATCAGAGCATTCCGGGAAAATTCGTAGACAGGGCTAGTGTGCATTTTTCTCAGTCTCTTTTGAAAAAAAATGTGGACTCGTTCACTGGACTTGGTGATTCGAAGCATAGGTTGGATCAAGCTGTTTACTGTAACACATCGATTTCTTATTGCATTTCCTATGACTTTATATGTAGTCTTGATGTCTGGAAATACCTGCCGCCGCCAAAGATCTATAATGATTTACTGTTTTAGGAATCTGGGCTACCTACGGCAAGAGCGCTGAACGAACCCGCGTGCACTTGAAAGTCAATCATCTACAGGTGGATAATCAGGTGACCTATGTTTTCGGGACCTTGAGCATTGCTCACATTTGTTTTGCCACATGAGTCTCAAATGTTTAGCTACTGCCTACTTTAGCTTGCGACATGCGTGTTTCCAAGAGTGTTAGCAGTTGTACCACCTCCTAAGAGTATCGTTGCTGACAATGGTAAGCCAAGCCTTATATGAATGTAAGCTATCTTTTTGTATCATATTTGCAGCACCCAAACCTTTCATCGAACTTTCTTTCTTCCAACGGCAGTCAGAATACTCGTCCGTGCCAGAAGTTGAATACGCTAAGATGCTTGTACAGGAATTCGCAGTGCAAGCCGATCAAGGACTCATTAATGCTATACTTGCTTTGATAGCCTCGGAAGTCAATAAGCAGCCGTATGGTGTATGTTTCCGGATTTCGCAACTTTCTGCGGTGGAACCAGCAAATTTTTTGTCTTCAGAAAGAAATGTTTGAAACGGATATGAACACAGCTCTTGAGCGTTTGGAGGACAAGGCCAAGCAGTACCGGTCAAATCAGCCGAAAGCATTCTATAACCATCTACATATCTCACCGCTTATGGTTAGCATCTTTTCTTTCTCTTTTTAGTGCAATTTGAGAAAATTTTTCATTCAGATCCATCTTTCTTTCTCACAAGGTGGTACAACAGGAGAAGGAGGATCTGGTGGTGCAATGCCCATCCAGTCTGAGTTTTTCAAAGTTCTCTTCCAAAGTGTGGGAGTCTCTGTGACGGAACTGCAGGATGTTATCTTCAAGTTAGTATTGAATACTTTTTTGGGAAGTGCGTAGTACCTCGTATCCGGTCACTTTCATCTTTTGCACTTTTTTTAATTTCAGTTTCTTTTTCTTATTTTTTGCTTTTTTGTTTTTCTTTTGGTTTATTATCTCTTAAATTGGCCTGATATCCTTTCAGACTTGCATATTTCCAAAGGGAGCGCCAGTTTTACCGGACAGATCAACTGAAAAGCGAAATAATATCACATTATACAATGCAGGCACTGCGACAGGTGAGCTATCGAATCTCATTTGCGCTGGCACAAGAGTAAATTTTTTTGTCCAGATGTATGTGTTGGTATTGGGTCTGGACATCATCGGAAACCCATTCGGTCTTGTTCGCGATCTTTCCGCCGGTGTGGAAGATCTTTTCTACCAACCATTCCAAGGACTTGTACAAGGGCCAGAGGTTTGTTGTCAGTCACTCTGTTATGAAAAGAAGCCTACTTTTCTTGTTTCAACATATATCTGAGTTTGTTTTTTGGATGCTCAAAGCTTGATTTTTTTGGATGTTAGAAGCTGGTGACATTTTTTGACATCCTTTGTTCTTAGGAGTTTGCTGCTGGTGTGGCTTTGGGTGTACAGTCCATGTTCGGACATGCTGTCGGTGGAGCAGCCGGCGCTGTTGGAAGAATAACAGGCACTGTGGGCAAAGGAGTTGCCGCACTGACTTTCGACAGCGAATATCAACGAAAGCGACAGGTCACATTATCGAATTCAACTTTTTTCGGCTTTATATGAGAAACTGCATTTAGGAAGACTTGAACAGACGACCGCAGTCATTTGGTGAAGGGATGGCAAGAGGAGTCAAAGGTCTTGGAATGGGTGTGGTTGAAGGTATCACGGGTGTAGTTACAAAACCCATCGAAGGCGCCAAGCATGAGGGTGGTCTGGGATTTATGAAAGGAGTTGGAAAGGTGAAAGATTGTATTTTCTATTATGCCTGCTACAACAGCATATGAGCTAGTTCAGGGCCTCATTGGTGTGGTTACGCGACCGGTTTCTGGTGTAGTTGACTTTGCTAGCAGCACTATGCACTCTGTTCGTACTGTGGCCGGCGCTGGTAAGGAAGCTGGAGCGTTGAGGCCACCTCGCGTCATACGACCTGATCTCATCATAAAACCCTACAGCCAGCATGAGGCGTTAGGTTTCAAAGTCTTCAATGTGAGTTTATTTCGAGCATTATAGCACTGCTTGCTCACGACTGCTTTGTAGGACACTGACCATGGCGAACTGGCCGAAACTGATGAATTTATCACCTACGCCCCAATCACGGATAGAATTGTGCTTTTGGTTACCAATGCACAGTTGGTGAGTTTTTTTTTGCAGGTTCATCATATCATTTTTCGATCTGATGCCCGAATTCCTTATTTTTGAATTGTGATGCATCATTTCATAAATATGAACGAAACAAGTGCTGCGTTGAATTGTATTTTCATTTCAATTCTTTTATTGCCCTTTTTTCAGTTTCTCACCCTCAATGACGCTTCTTAATAACACTGTTGTAGGTGCTATCGAAACGGGCAGACATGATGGGAACGTGGTCCACTGAATGGCAAACTGATTACGACAAGATCAAAGAACCTATCTTTGTACAAAATGGAATCAAAATCATTCTGAAGGTGGGTATATTGTTATTGCTTGCTGGAAAGCATTGTCGAATAAAAATCATAGTTCACCTCTCGAATTCTATGCATTTTTTTGTCCAAGAAACGTTTTTAGGAGAAGAAACGTGGCTTTTTGGGCATTGGCTCAACAGAAGGGAAAATCATAACGTTTGAGAATGCTGAAGTGAGTTGAACTGGGTGTTTGTCATTGTCTTGATCAAAAAAATCTTAACACTACTTTCAGTACTACTCGCAGTTTCAGGCCATCCAACAAAAAGTGCTAGCTGCATACAAAGCGGCCACTCAGCTACCTACTTGAAGTACATCGATGAAACAAACAGCAATTTTTTCTCGGACTCTTCTGAGGTCCTTTGTTTTTGCATATTGCGTTTTATTTTCATTTATCTGTGAATTGGGATACTGCGGTTTCTACTGTAGATCACACCCTGTTGCTGTTCTTTCGTTTGCTTCTTGTTATTATTTGTATGTGCACTGTTGTCTCCGATGCAGTCTTATTGCTTTCTTCTCTATAGGATGCATGTATCAAAGATTTCTGCCTAAATTTGTTGTATCTATTTCAGAGCTCATATACTTCCTCTTTGAAACAGCAGAACTTTGTTTTAAGAGATTTGCTATCACCGGACAAGTATGTCTTAATCAAAGTCTAATAAGCATATGTCTTGTAAATCTTCTCAAGATTATCTTTAATGTGTACATCGTACGATTGACCTTACGAGGTTTTACATCTGCCCTTCATTGCTTCTATGTACAGGGATAGTAATCTTGATAAAAAGTATTTTTGACGTTAGGGACCATCATCAGTGCTGCAAGAAATCTGTTCTAAAAGAAGATCACCCATGCTCATAAAACCTGGGCATTTCGTGATATTAGGTTGGTCTGAAAGTTCTCGCCGTTTTTCAGACCCATGCTCAAACATTTATAAAATGACGCTCCAAGCAGTTCCTCCTAGCAGTTACGTTTTTTTGGATTTCTTTAATGTACGCTCAAATAGTCGTTGGAATCCCCAATCCAACGACTATTTGAGGCTTTTACCCATCGTGAGTTTGGCTATTTTTTAGAATTCTCGTTTTCAAGTTTTCTAGCTTTGGTAACAGTTGGCTAGAACAAACAAAATGCAATAAAATGAACTATTATATTTTGGTTTCTCAACTAGCTTTTCAGAATTTTTTAGATTATTTTCCCAAAATCTCTTACTTTTGAGAAGTCCCGAAATACACAGTCGCTTCAAACACTGTTTCTTCGGGATTTGAAGCTTTCAGTAATAGCTCATCACTCAACGCTGATTTTAGCAAGCAACTGGCGTAGCATTTTGGAAGATTGAGTTCCGAGTTTTGTAGGTACATCGTGGGACGAGTCTGGAAACAAATATTATAATGATATTATCCGCATATTATACTAATCAGGAAGGAAAGAAGTCCATCAGAAAGAGGAAAAAAGCTGCATCGAATGATATCCTAATTGTTAATTGCTCGATGTTTTTGATCTGCGAGGATTGGATGTCCAAATATGGGATTTGATAGCTAAAATAGTATATTTTGAAAGCGAGAAAGCACCTAGAGATGCCGAAAATAAGTTGTATGGAATATTGTTTATTCTATTCAACTCCTGTCAAGGCAATCTAAGAGTTGAAAATGAAATTCCAAGAAAAAAAATAGCCAAACTCAGAATGGGTAAAAACATAGGTCGGAGAATCTGATAATTATCTGAGCGGACATCAAAGAAATCTGAACAAAAACATAATAATAGAAAGAAATTCTATGGATCCACAAAGCCGAACCAAGTCGAGGTATGTTCAAGCACTTTTTGTAGAAACTTCTAGGTTTGTGCTAGCAAATCTAAAACTTGGGTGAAAAAGCTTCTTCGGAGGTAAGGTTATGGGGTGAGGCACAACCCCTCAAAAGGTCAGCCTGCTTGAGGTTGTGTAGACTTATGCGTGACCCACTTAAACTGTCTTCAGAACTGACAAATCGCTCCTTTCCTCGTATGAGCATTGAACTCATAGACGCTTCTTGCTACAATGAAATTTGGGGTCAAACCCCATTGTGGCTTTTTCAGTAGGCCCATATAGATTAAAATCAGTCGTTGAGTATGTGTTTTGTAAAAATGCAGTCACAAAAATCGGTCATACAGACTTTATAAATTCATAAACTCTTGAACGGTCCTCCAGAATGTCACACTCTGAGGTTGCGGAGGTGAAGAAAAGGAAGAAGGGTTCCGTGGGGGCTTTCAGGGGGAGGGGATCGTTTTCGAAGGACTTGTGCCTGAACTCTTGCAGCTTGGTTATGATACGAACCGTGGAAACGCTCAGGCTTCTAACCGTTCGGTACAAAAACGCTCGTTCTTGATGAAAAAATTAAAATGCCGGATCAGATTTTCCTGAATCATTACGTCACCCATCCCCCTCCCATCACACCTTGAAGCAGTTCTAGTCAGGGCCGCGCGAACGCTAGCCCCACACGCAAAAATTAAGCTGTTGGCCAACCTCAGCTCGAGGCTGCCACACGGGTCAGCCATCGCTAAAGTGCAATGCGAAGCCTCACCATGGGGGTCCCGCCTTCTTGATCGCGAGATCCCCCCAGCCAGGTAAGTTTAAGAGCTGCAACTTTCGGCAAAGGCACCTTTCCTAGCAACGTACTCTTTACAGGTACTACCACAGCGTGATTCTTTATGAAGAGAGAAGCAGAGAAAAATAGGGTTGTACTGACAGGGCGGACATGTCAGACGTGAACGTACGCGATGGGAATGAAATCAATGGGGAAGTACGTAGTGGAGATGGGAGAGAACACGTTAAACGTGGCAAAACGTGTACAGCCTATGTTTAGGGCATATTACGGGGTGTGGTGCAGAAGGCGACAATCCCCAGTTTTGTGCCTATCATAAACTCCCCGGCGTCAAAGTGACACCCCGGGGGACTACGGGGGTGGGAGGGGGGGGGGGGGGGTGGGGGCAGATACATTACTCAATGCCACAAGTAGAAATCCGTGAAAGTCATTGAGACGGATGATACACTGCCTCCATTTTTCGCCGATTGTCGCCTTCCGCGTGTCCCCCCCCCCCCCCCCCATATTACGTTGTGATGATGGTGCGACCGCGCGCTGTACGCACGCACTTCCATCAATCTTGGTTTTCATCGGTTTTTCTGTTCACCTATGGTAGTATTTAGACAGTGGGAGTGATTGAGCTGTACACTGAGGTGATACCTTCTCGTGGGAGTGTTTTATGCTCCTGTAGGCGCAATGACCGCAGTCAAATCCGCCGGCACGATTTTATAAATTACTTATACTCCCTTTCGCATAGGAACTACGCATCCGCAACGCGAGAGGCTTTCGTGTAGATCTCCAATCAATAAGGTCAAATGTAATGCCCAAACCGCACGTCCGCGAACGTAGCGCGAGGCTGTGGTGTGGTGATTGCTCCGAAAGAAAAGAGGGTACGTGATTGATAAATACTGTAGATTCCAAAGGCCGCACCACACCTTGGGCATTTTACAAAATCTACGGGGTCCATATTACCACCAATCCCACAGCCTTGGAGACGAAAATTGCAGAAGAGAGGCTAGATTAGAATTTAATCTTTGCTCTATGCTAGCATATATTGTGCAAGTATCCCGCAAAGGCTCATTGGTGTTAAAATCAAGGGTATTCGGATGCTCTCATTGCACTGAGTTTTGCACGGATCGTGCACATGGCACGGACAATACGCTTCTTAGCTGCCTTGTTTTTGCAAAAAGAGGCCAGATGCAGTTTTGAGCTAAGTTTTTCCCAAATTCATGAAATTTTCAAAAAATTTCCGAATTCAATTCAATTTATTTGATTCAAAGTGCAAATGTAGAAGGGATCTTTGGCTAAGTAACGCGAAAATAGTTCTTTCGTAATTGTGTCGTTCGCAAGTTCAAACTATGGCAGAGATAGTCTAAAGTAGGATATCTTTCTTCTAAGCAAAAAATTGGTATAAGCTCGGCTCAAGGTTCAAATTCTTGGTTAAGTCCTATCTAGGTTTGTATAACCTGTCAGCATAAGACCTATCCATCCTAATTTCAGGACCCCTCCCCCCACCAATGGATTGATAGGGGGAGGGGTCCTGAAATTTTTGAAAGTCACTTACAAAAAAAATTAGTTATAAAAATGTGCAAGTAACTTACAGGTAAATAACTAAGTTAGTTTTTGAAGTTTTTCAAAGAAATCGCTACTTCTGATTCAACTGGCTTGGCTTCGGGAAGGCGGGGCTTCGTGATCTAATTGAGGCCGTTCGCGCAGACGCTGTCCGCGTCTCCCTCGCGCGGGTGCTTTCTGTCATTACCTAGCCTCAATTAGGTCATGAAGTCTCGCCTTCCCGAAGCCAAGCCAGTTGAATATGGAACTAGCATTGTAAAAATCTCTTCGGAGGTGTGGCAGCGACTTTTCAAAATTTTGGTGTCAATCCGGGAAAATTTGCGAAGCATGCCAAAAAATTACTGGTGTGCGTAGTTAACGCCACACATCTTAATTGGAAGAAGTTTTTGTCCCCCTTCCCCTCCCCCCCCCCTGAATGGAAATCCTGGACCGCCACTGATGAAGATTATACCATTTGAAAATAGATTTGCATTGTTTGAATTTGCTACGCTCTTATTTTTCCTCGCTGCTAATCTACCAGTATTTGAACGAAATTTTAGCAGTTTTTATTTGCAATTCCTTTTTTAAATAATCCTCAATATGCACACCGGTGATTGTCCTGTGCGTGAATCTGTAAATTTGCGCTTTCTTTTCGTGCAGAAATAAAATAGTCTCGCCGAATGACACTGTGAAATGACAGTCGTCGTCCTTTGCATTACAGTAAGAAAATCGGTTATAGAAAACGTTTTTCAAAGACATATTGTAGCATGCCAAACTGTGCATGATGCGGAAAAATTCCAACGTTTCTGTAACGGTAAGAAAATTATATGTGTTCAGCAGAGCATGAAAAGTGACTCGTCGTTTCCCGCGTTCAGATCGTCTTTCTAGCCTCATCACCTCCAATTTACCCACTCACATACCGCGCTCTGAAAATGATGTTGTTCAGCAGAGAAACGAGTGTTCAAAAGTTATATGATCTAATATATAAAGAATCGTTAGCTCGATTCAAAAATCTGCAAACAGCGGGAAACCAAGGGCGGGTCCCGGAGCGAACGCTCTTCCGAATAGCACCTTTAGATTGCTCGTTCACTAGTAGATAGATATAATACAGTTATAATACATAGAAATGTCAACTCAGCACTGCTTTTCTTGATTCTGCAAATTTTCGTCTTCTAAAGTTTCTTCAATTTTTTCCAATGTCCATAGCAGACTTGAGAGCTAATCCAGTATCCCTACGGTGATGACAGCATTTGCGCAAAAACGAATGTCATGCTTGTAAAGTGCCGGCGACGTGCTTGCGATTTGCGCGTAAGAAATGGTCACAGGACGCACAATACCATTGTTTACGCGCAAATGTTGTTGGCAACGCAAGAACACTACATTAATCGTCAATTCTATAAACTTAAAAACAATCCCCATCAAGCGCTACATATTTAGTGCCTGGAAAGGACAAAATCAAGATAAAGTTAAAGAAAAACACTTACTAGGATCTGAAATTGAATGCAAGATTGAAACGCACTGTGGATGATGCGTGTGCACAATATCAGATCGAGGTGACTGGACTTGCACAGGCTAGTCCCAGACGACGGCGGATGTTCATATCACGTAAACGCATGCGAAAGAGGCCCGCGAGCGGTTTCGCGCCTGCAGTTTATTTACGCGCTCCAGCGACAACAGATGCTCAGACGCCTTCTACGCGACGATGAAGCCGGCTTTTTTGGATTTGGCATTTAAGCTCTGAAAGTAGCAGCTCAGCATTAGTCTGTTTGAATCTATTTTACGAGCCAAAAATTATTTGAAACAAAAAATATGTTCCTCCAAAACCGACCAGCTTTCGCTCTACTGCACCACTTCTAAATCGACCTCTTGCTTGACCGCGCATGCCATTGAGCAACGAACTGTTTTGGGCAGACGACGCAAGTTTTTTGGCGCTGAGAATTCGACGACAAAGCGCGGGTCCAATTGAGTTACGCAGATGAAGCGAGAGGTAAGGTCTCTCTTGCCTCACAGCTCAGTGGTAAGCGGATGAAATGGGGCGCATGATTCGAATACAGTAACATTGTGTTGCCCTCGCGCTCGCATTCGTTGTTGTTCATCCGAACGTCATCGTCGCCTCTCTCGATACCAACACGCATGTCACAGGTGAGCCTCAGTATTATGTTCTAGAAGTTTCACTACAGGGATTAGATCGCTGTCTTATAAATCAGTATGTCAAGTCCCACGAAAACCTAGAGCTTGAAGGCGCTGTCCAGTCAAATTGGGATTTTGAAGATCTTGATGCTGTATGATAGCGAGGTCACTAGTCAAGCAACCTCTCAAGTCTAGCTGCAATAGATGGATTCTAAAGAGAAAAAAACCGCTTCAGGAGGTAAAAGCAGTGACGCTGGTTCCACCCATCAACCTGGGTGGTCTGGGAATTAGGAAGTCCAAACTTGGGCTTCAATATCATTATGTCCAGAAATTGTCATAATTACGCCCGTAATTTAGGTAGACGGTGCCTTTAACAGAGGGCTACCAGGTATTTCGAATGTCATACCCTTCTATGACAGCGATTCTCCTCAAAAATGGATAGACTCCTCGCTAAGGGATTTTTTCTTCATCAAAAGCGCGAAACTTGTGATGCATGGACTGGTTTTCCCAACTAGCTTGCATATTCCTTGAAACCCATATATTCCATTTTTGGGCGCATTGCTTGAAAGTTTATTGTCCACAGGGGTTGTCTCTATTTAAGTGGAGATTTTAAAAATTCAAAATAAATGCAAACCTTCTGCACAGCTTTTTGAGACAAAATGCAAAAATATCAAAGCTTCCAGGCATGACACAATATGGACGCTAAATGAAATTGAGTTTTTGCCTTCTTCATTTGTTACCGTGGCTTGCAAAGTTCATGTAACAATACCCATGATTCTCAAGAAAGCCGCCATCAAAGTTCACCATCGCATCGCCAATCTTAGTTCAGAGTAGGCGTGCTCGGAATTCAAGAGCACCTTCAACTCAGCTCTTGTCCCATCTTCCGGTGTATAGATGTTTTTGGTCAAATACAGTAGGCCGTTAGATTTAGTGAATTCTTTCAGATTTTCGCCGGTAGTTCACTGCACACTAACAAGGGAAGTTCACTTAGTCGAAGTGGAGATTCGGAAGAAGATCTATAATAATGGATAGAGCTCAAAAAGCTGATCTCAGATATACCTTCTACAATACCACCCGTAATTTGTGAAAAAAAATGGCGGCGGCACTTAACTTACGCGGCGCCGCCGAAGTTAGGTGACTTTTGCCGCGTCGCGCGACAAAAGTCGGCGGAAAAGCGGCAAAAGTCACCTAACTTTGTCGCGCAACGCCTAACTTTTTATAAAAAAAGACCTTATCTTGATTCAAAATTTATGAATTCTATATATAAGAGTACCATTCAACTCAGCTCGGCGAGGCGCATCTTCCAATATACGGATGTGCCTAGTTGTGGGATATAAGTTTCTTTCCTGGAATTTTAGTGTAAATGGACCATTCAGTGTGCTTATTCCAGAGGCTACGTACACATTCCATTGAGCACAGCAGAAATAGGGCAGGTATAGTTTAAGAGCTCATTCTGCATGGATATATGTGAAACTGGGCAGCTCATTCTGCATGGATATGTGTGAAAGTGGGCAGCTCATTCTGCATGGATATGTGTGAAAGTGGGCTTCTCTCGGCGAAGTATGACGGGTCCCAAAATGCAGGAAGACAAAGGGAAATGGTTGGAAATCGCATGAGAAGCACATATCGCGGAATGCCGCGCGTGCTGTGCAATGTACAATACCACTCACAGAACGGGAATTGCGCGAAATTCCAGAAATTTCGCGATTCCGGATTATCGTAAATTATGCAGCGCCATAACTTCCTTCGGAATTAATATATTCTAAATTCGAAAGCAGCACTGTGTTCATCTCGTCAAGGCGAATCTTTCTACATACGTCATGTCATCTATATCTTGTTTTCAGTTTTCTCAAATTGTTCTGAGGAGGTCCCTTTGCAAGTATGTAACGCAGCGCCTATCCAACTTGAAAGCTTCCAGTATGCACCATTCGATAGTGCTCTTCTTGTGCATTATAGTGCGCTAGTAAGCTGCCGCAGGCTTCTTTTCAAAAGAGAAAAAAGCGTTGGTAAATTCTGGAAAAATCACTCGTTTCCAGATTCTACTCGCCGTAACTTTCTTTGGAGTGGATATTTTCTAAATCCGAAAAATGCATTGTGCTCAGCTCATCAAGGCAAATCTTTCGGTATGCGGAATGTCCTTGATATCTCGATTTCAGTATTCTCAAAACTTTCTGCGGACGTTTCTTCGCAAAGGTGTGAAGCAGCGCGTATTGCCCCCAGTACATTCAGAAAGAAATTTTCGATAGTACTTCTTTTGTAGATTATGGAGCGCTGGAAAGTAGCCGCGTACTCCTTTTCAAAGGAGTTAGAAGGGCTGGTGAATTCTGGAAAAATCATGTCCTTCTAAATTTTTCTCAACGTAACTCTAAAATATGAAGCTCTCTTGCTAAGCAGATGTGATTTTCGTAACCAGCAGGTCGGATAACCCTTATGAGCATGTTTTCCAAGATGTTCAAGTAATTTCATTTTTTTTCGTTTTACGCTCTGAAGCTGGCCGATGGATTTTGGTCAAAATGTTCATGCTCTTAAATTGTAAGGAAACTTCGCTTATAGAGGTTTTCGAACACGCTCTTTACGAAAGTCGTGGTCCTTGAGGATTACAGGGTCTTTTTGGTGAGATACGGTGAGGTGACTGTAACTGCATCACGAAAGTGCGTAAATTGGCCCGCACTTCTCGCGTATCTGTCAGCAACCTTGCCTGCTTGCTTTTCTCAGTCAAAGTTACTAGGAACTGCGCTACCGAATGGTGCATGAATCAGGCTCCAGTCTGTAAAAATCACCGAGTTACGAGCCTATGAAAACACGTCCTCATGGATTTTGCCCAAAATCTAAAGATCGCATATCTCGTCGAAATTCCTCCGTGAGCGCTTGTATGACACTCGCATTGCGGATATTGTGTTCGCTTCGCCCAAAAACTCCCACTGTATTGAATATGGTACTTGCATATGCTTCAGCTACTCAGTTGAATATCAGAGCTATTTCAGTGGCTAGAACTCAAACTACTAAATCTAACACAATAAGATCCATTAAGGACGCGAAAGATTTTGATCAGCGTGTTGTACAAGCGCTCACGGTGGAACTTCGACGAGATTTGCATCTTTAGATTTTGGGCAAAATCCATGAGGACGTGTTTTCATAGGCTCGTAACTCGGTGATTTTTACAGACTGGAGCCTGATTCATGCACCATTCGGTAGCGCAGTTCCTAGTAACTTTGACTGAGAAAAGCAAGCAGGCAAGGTTGCTGACAGATACGCGAGAAGTGCGGGCCAATTTACGCACTTTCGTGATGCAGTTACAGTCACCTCACCGTATCTCACCAAAAAGACCCTGTAATCCTCAAGGACCACGATTTTCGTAAAGAGCGTGTTCGAAAACCTCTATAAGCGAAGTTTCCTTACAATTTAAGAGCATGAACATTTTGACCAAAATCCATCGGCCAGCTTCAGAGCGTAAAACGAGAAAAAATGAAATTACTTGAACATCTTGGAAAACATGCTCATAAGGGTTATCCGACCTGCTGGTTACGAAAATCACATCTGCTTAGCAAGAGAGCTTCATATTTTAGAGTTACGTTGAGAAAAATTTAGAAGGACATGATTTTTCCAGAATTCACCAGCCCTTCTAACTCCTTTGAAAAGGAGTACGCGGCTACTTTCCAGCGCTCCATAATCTACAAAAGAAGTACTATCGAAAATTTCTTTCTGAATGTACTGGGGGCAATACGCGCTGCTTCACACCTTTGCGAAGAAACGTCCGCAGAAAGTTTTGAGAATACTGAAATCGAGATATCAAGGACATTCCGCATACCGAAAGATTTGCCTTGATGAGCTGAGCACAATGCATTTTTCGGATTTAGAAAATATCCACTCCAAAGAAAGTTACGGCGAGTAGAATCTGGAAACGAGTGATTTTTCCAGAATTTACCAACGCTTTTTTCTCTTTTGAAAAGAAGCCTGCGGCAGCTTACTAGCGCACTATAATGCACAAGAAGAGCACTATCGAATGGTGCATACTGGAAGCTTTCAAATTGGATAGGCGCTGCGTTACATACTTGCAAAGGGACCTCCTCAGAACAATTTGAGAAAACTGAAAACAAGATATAGATGACATGACGTATGTAGAAAGATTCGCCTTGACGAGATGAACACAGTGCTGCTTTCGAATTTAGAATATATTAATTCCGAAGGAAGTTATGGCGCTGCATAATTTACGATAATCCGGAATCGCGAAATTTCTGGAATTTCGCGCAATTCCCGTTCTGTGAGTGGTATTGTACATTGCACAGCACGCGCGGCATTCCGCGATATGTGCTTCTCATGCGATTTCCAACCATTTCCCTTTTTCTTCCTGCATTTTGGGACCCGTCATACTTCGCCGAGAGAAGCCCACTTTCACACATATCCATGCAGAATGAGCTGCCCACTTTCACACATATCCATGCAGAATGAGCTGCCCAGTTTCACATATATCCATGCAGAATGAGCTCTTAAACTATACCTGCCCTATTTCTGCTGTGCTCAATGGAATGTGTACGTAGCCTCTGGAATAAGCACACTGAATGGTCCATTTACACTAAAATTCCAGGAAAGAAACTTATATCCCACAACTAGGCACATCCGTATATTGGAAGATGCGCCTCGCCGAGCTGAGTTGAATGGTACTCTTATATATAGAATTCATAAATTTTGAATCAAGATAAGGTCTTTTTTTATAAAAAGTTAGGCGTTGCGCGACAAAGTTAGGTGACTTTTGCCGCTTTTCCGCCGACTTTTGTCGCGCGACGCGGCAAAAGTCACCTAACTTCGGCGGCGCCGCGTAAGTTAAGTGCCGCCGCCATTTTTTTTCGCAAATTACGGGTGGTATTGTATATCTGCGACGCATTGTTCTAAAAAAAGTTACGAGCTTTTCTAAAGCCAAATTTTAGTGCATTTTGAGTCGCAAAATCAAGATAATCTCTACACAAAAGTGTGCAAGCTTAAGCAAACTATCTAGTAAGCATTGTGGGTCTAACTCGCGTTCATCCGAACGTTTTTGAGTGTTTTCCAAATATGTTGTTTATCCACAAGTCGCCATTTCATTCCTAGATCACACTTTCATTATGTATACAAAAAGGCCCCATAACCTCCATTTACAAAACGCGTCGCATAGGAAACTTTTTGGAAACTAGCAATGGATAGAATGTAAAACGTTGTTCTCAAATATATCTTCAATATCTACGACGCGTTCTTCTAGATGGAAGTTATGGGCTTCTTTGTATATATGATGGAAGTGTGATCTAGGAAAGAAATGGCGACTTGTGGATAAACAACATATTTGGAAAACACTCAAAAACGTTCGGATGAACTCGAATTAGACCTACAATGCTTACTGAGTGGTTTGCTTAAGCTTGCACACTTTTGTGTAGCGATTATCATGATTTTGCGACTTAAAATGCACGAAAATTTGGCTTTAGAAAAACTCATAACTTTTTTCAGAACAATGCGTCACAGATATAGAAGGTATATCTGTGATCAGCGTTCTAAGCTCTATCCATTGGTATGGATCTCCTTCTGAATCGCCACTTCGACTAAGTGAACTGTCTTGTAAGTAGCCTACATTAGGCAAAAATCCATGAATCTCTCTCAGCGTATTCAAGTCGGTACCTCTATAGATTGAAAGATGCGCCTTGCCGAGCTGATAGAATGATGCCTTTCAATTTCAAATTCGTCTACCTTGAACCAAGATATGCTGACGCATATTTCTGTAAATTGTAGAGTTTGATTTGCCGCAAGTTCAAAATTTAAAAAGCGTCTTTTTAGAGTTGCTTTTGAGGTTTTGAGCGCACAAGAATTTTCATTACATAACGACAAAGAATCGAATGGATCTGTAGCTGATTTAGGCTAGCTTTGCTCTCTTAGAATTTCCACTCGCCAAGGTATTTTCTCAGAACCACTAAATTGAAAATTGTCTAGGTTTTTAGCATTTTAGCAGTCAAGTTTATTTGAACGTTTCGGTGGTCAATACCACAGACCTTGTGGAAAATCTCCATTCACCATAGCTGTTAAGCAGTGGCGTACCAAGGGGGGGGGGGGAGGCGCCCCCCTCCCGAGAATGTTTTGCGAAATTTTTGAAAATTGCTTATGGGTAAAAATGCGCAAGTGACTTGTTTAAGAGAAAAAGCTAATTTCTAATATAGCTTTAGTTGTGTTGACGTTCACTTATGAATGCAGATGATTTTAACAAAGCAGGTTTAAGTCGACAGGCAGAATTTCCTCCTGCGGTAAGAAAGGGGATTATTAACAAATGTATTATATTAACGATTCCCACCTCGTTCTTTCTAGCTGCTTCTCCTCCAAAAAGCTTTTCACCCTGCTTTAGCTCTTTGTCATTTATGGTGTCCCGCTCGCATTGGTATCACACGGCTTGATAAATATACATTATATAACAGAAAGGGATGAAGAGCCGAGAAAATGATGCATGGGTACAAGTGCTGCAAAAAGCTCTTTCTTTTCTCTCCATTATTAAAGCTTACTGGATTAGAGTATCTGCAAAATATTCAGTTTATCAGGAAGGATTGCACTATACGTTTTCGAAAAGCACTTCATTGACATGCACAGTCCATAAATTATAATACATGACCTATTGTGTGAATTGCGTCGATAATCTTGAAAAAAAAAGACAGGCGTGTTGAATGATACTAACAAAGCACGAGTAAATTGTAAAAATTAATCTTGCATATTTTCGAAGTATTTTGGACCTTCAGTGTAGAAGTTGTATATGCAAATAGACCCTGTTTTGATAGCAAAAACCTAGAAAGTTGGCAGTGTGAACATCTCAGTGTATAAACTTTTGTGAAATGCATAGCATAAAAAGCACTAAATCGCATCCTTGCTTGGAAGAAAGCTGTGATTAGTTTGATCGAGGAAAAAGTGACAGACCCATGTAATCTCAAGCACGATCTTCTTCTAGTATAATATTGACACTCATAGTGTCTTTCTTCTACATAGCATATTCCACCTTTCCATTAATTTGTTTAATACAAGTTCTGTTCTGGTGCACGAAAAGTAGTGTTCAACAATAGATTTATCTACTAAAAAGTAAGATGGTTCAAAATACCGCCTCTATTAAACGTGCCTAGCTATACACGAGGTAAAATAAGAGTTTGATACGCTTTTTTCCTGATGAAAACTCAGAAAATGCAAGAACTATTGTACAACAGCTAGTACGAGAAATAAGTACATATCTTCATGCGACTGCGAAAGAGTATATATTTTAGCAACAAATTTTGCTAGTTTTTCCGAACTCCCTTCCCTCGTTTGTTTTTATGAGTTAAATTAATATCAGTTTCCATTTTCCCCAATTTCCTCATGACATTTGGCTGCTGAAACGTTCAAGAAAGGGAGTTATTTCTATAAGAAAATTCCCTGAAAATCTCCTGAGAGTTGAACATTGAATACATACATAAGCTTCTGCAAAAAAAGGTGAACTTGTCTACAACATACTGATATTGTTCTGGATATCGATAGTGAAGGTTTGGCCATGGCATATGATTAGGTTTTTGTGAAGGCACAACAGAGCTTACTTTGAGGGCTTGTCAAATGTCCTAATGCAGCTTTAGCAATGGTCAAAAGTCAATGGAGATTTTCTTTCGGATCATATGCATCTTCTAGACAGAGAGATGATCACATGTATTTATTGAAATATGAGTTTATTCATCACCAGGCTTGTATGAGAAGAAACCAGGAAGAAACTAGGCGCAAATTTGATTAGTAATAAAGTTTTGCTGTATTACTCTTTTCGAACCGTGTGGAGTAAAAAATACTTGATAAGCAGCAGATCCTCCAACTTGGTCACTTATATACTATGCACATCGGACATTCACATGTAAACTTGTGGCAGTGTTTTTTTTTCGCGGCTGGAAATTAAAAAACAAAAAAGGGCCAAAAATACAAAAACATCGCCTACTGGGTTTTTTTATGTTGTGTCCGAAAAAGGCTGGAATTTGTTCAGTGACATCTACTTTTACAATCACTAAAATAAAAATCAAATCTTCTTGTTTCAACCAATTCGTATAGTTCATTCAAGTTTGCAAAGATAAAGTAATGAACTTTCTAGCTGTGCTTCAACCAAAGCATGTACTGTTATAACACGAAGCTGCAAATTGTTGAAAACAAAAAGTTAGATTGTTTTTCTGCTTTTGCCGCTGAAAATGCTGAAGGACTCAACAACATGTGAATTTTTTCTCTAAACGAAGTTTCAAGACAAATCGATTCGAATGAGAGATCCGATTAGTCACAACTTTCAGTTTGTTTAGTTTTTTGGCCGACATTTCAATTTTATTCCTTATTCTTATAGAAGTTTATCCATAGTACAACAGATCATTTGTTAGGTGTTGCAGAAAGCATTTACTAAATATTGAGATATTTTTCGAAAGATTTTAAAGCAGATTTTTGTGGTTTTTTTTTGAGTGCAAAATCATTTCCGGAGATGCAAAACATAATATGCAACTCAGGCACCCTGCTTTGTTGTAGCTAAAATTCACGTACTAACAATGGAAAATTTTTTGTTTTGAAGTCCCCTACTTGTGAACATTCTAAAAATCCTCTTAGATTTGCAAAAACATATTTTGAAAGATGTGATTTATATACCGTGGTGGAAAAATTCAACGCTTGGCAGTTTTCAAGCGAGTTAGGGGCTACATTGTAGAGTAGATCTAAACACCAACTGCGATTATTCTCGCTTGAGCTTCAAATCCCTGTACGCAAGATTTCAAAAGCGTGTCGAGCATGCGCATTCGTGAGTGTAGTACAAACAGAAGGCCTCGGGAAGAGGGGAGGGGGGGGGGGGGAGGCGGTAACGCGAGAGAGAAGATTACATGTGCTCAAGGTTCAGGGAGACAACGCTCGAGCAAACAGCAGCGAAAGAGCCGGAAGCGAGCCTGTCAGCCGCAGCGCAAAGTGCGCCACGGCTGCCACCGTAGTCCGCTCGGCAGCCGGGTCGGAGCCGGATCTGACGCGAGTTCTCGAGGTGCTCATGGTGTTTATGCGGAATCGCGCGAGCGCATTGAGGTATAAAGGGATTTTTACAGGATGGTCACTGCTCTACGGTGAATCAAGAGGTTTACACATGTGCCGTTTGTGAAGAACCAGCTCGTGGATTCCATTTTGGCGCATTCACCTGTGAAGGATGCAAGGTAAATAGCATTCGCAGTCTCATGAATTTTTTGAGGTATAAAGGGATTTTCAGGGAATTTTTTGATTGATGCACCAGCCATAGTTTATTCACTTGATCCGCGTGATCCACTTCGCTATTGGTCAGATCACTGATTGACCAATAGTGAAGCAGATGAAGTGGATCAAGCGGATCAAGTGGGTCAAGTGGATATGGCATGTGCTTATGGTGCGCCTGTAGTGCCGACAAAGTTAAGACGTATTCGAAACGCACAGCTAATTACTTTGGCTCACGTCGCCCTCGGTCATGCTTATGTCCGCGGAGCGCGGTAAGCTCCTCGGACTTTGACTTTTTCTTGCATCTCAACCTTAGTTGATCTTCTTCTTTCTTCTCACTGTCATAACAGATCATCCTTCGTGGCATTTCTCGACTTTTGTCTACTAATTGTACTCAAGACTGTAGAAATGGTCAGAAGTCTGGAAAATGTTAGCTATGGTGGACGAGGATGTTCTCAATCGAATTACGACGAAATAGTTGTATATAATTATTTCTGCATAATTTGCTCTACATAAGTGCTTGTAAGTTTGTCTCTTCGAAATGTCATGCTTTCGTGGGTCGACGCTTCCTTGACGCTGTATTTCTTTCATTAATGGCCTGCTAAGACCATAATTGAGAGTAGTCGGAGAATAGTGCATAAGCATAGTTGTTTTGGCTAGAATATCGTGTATACTCTTTCTGCAGAGCAAGTACATGGCGGTTACGCTGTGCACTGCTGCTGCCGTTTCCAGTTTTTTAAATGCTGAGCGAATCAGGCTTCACGCATTGTCCATACTATCGCACTACGTTTTTGCCAGACAGTCGAAGGGATACCTCCGGCGGGCATATGGCGCGAGTCTGCCACTTCGCGCTCTGGAGCGCTCCGGAGCTCTGCCACTTCACGCATTTTTGTGCTTCGGGGCTCTCCCAAAAGTGGCGCACCTCCGGAGCAGAGATTTGCCGTCGCGGAAAGGGGTCCCATTCATTCACCGTGACGTCACGGTGACGTCATAAACAAGTCGAATGGGACCCCTCTCCGCGACGCGCAAATCTCTGCTCCGGAGCTGCGCCACTTTTGGAGAGCCCCGGAGCACAAAAATGCGTGAAATGGCAGGGCTCCGGAGCGCGAAGTGGCAATCTTCCGCTGGGGAAAGCCCGCGACCCTGCCACTTCTACTCCGGAGGTATCCCATCGACTGTCTGAGGAAGAACATGTAACTGAGTTTAAGAGTGAACGGTGCGCGAGAGTATCACTATCACCTCGTCTTACATTCAAAACTTGCTCACAACTACTTCTCTCTTCTTACTTCATTAATATCGCTGATGGTCCGCTATTCAAGCCACCTACCCTTTGATTCAACAGGATTGGCGGCTGGAAGGCGACCGCTCGCGCCCGCGATATAGTCTGCTACTTTCTCGCGAGCGTGCTCATTGGTCATTAACCTTGATCAGGCCTCGGAGCTCAGCCTTCCAGCTGCCTCCGTTGAATGAAAGGGTACATGTTTGCGTATGCTTTCTACATCGGCATTGGAGATGACTTTGTATCGATGAACTCCTTCACACCAACCACAATGCAGATATTGGTGTCCATAACAGTGTTAGTAGGTTTGGTTTGAATAAAAGAGATATCTGGAATAAACAATAAACAGTTCAGCCCAAAAAAAAGTAGAAGACAAACAGGTTAAGTTGCAGGAAAGAATTTCAAGTCCCAGGAGCTTACCGCGCTCCGCGGAGATAAGCGTGACAGAGGGCGACGTGAGCCAAAGTAAATAGCTGTCCGCTTCGAATACGTCCAACATTAACGCAAAAAAAATAATAGGGCGCGAAATTTGAAACTGTACGCATAGTTTCAATATTGCTTGTCAACTGCTCGCTATCAATAGTTGCGCGCATTCTTCCGGATAGAGTCTAGAATATATAGCTTCTGTCCATTCGCTCTGAACCTGATTCACTTTCTAAACATTTCTGTTATTTGCGCGTGAAGAATTGATAGCCATGTAGTCAAGTTCTTAAATTCTTCGCATGGAGTCTCACTATCAGTCACTCTAAAAGCATACAATTATCCGCTCTGAGAAGCATACAGACAATAGTGTTTTTTTGGAATTCATGGTCATGTGTGTCATCACTGTGGGACCGGCAACACCTGCGCGTAGAAAATTTTTTTATTTTGATTTGGATGCTGTAATTGTAGCTTTAGTAGTTGACTGTGGATGAATGATGCGTAATTTCCAGTTAGTGGTCTATGGAAATTACGCATCATTCATCCACAGTGTCATGAGATCATTTCATCAGATTGCATAACATTGGGTAATATTGAGTAACATCACATCACTTGTTATGCAATGTCTTACACCGCCCTAACCGCTGTTATTGTTGTAAGGCGGACCTGCATATAAGAGAGGACTGGAGACCATCAGGGACATTCACACATACCCCTTCCCCTCCCCCTTCCTCTATTGTTTAGTTTTTGTATCTTTAGTAATAAACATATATAATCACTATGTTGATACACCGTAACACCACTACACCTTCAGGCAAGGGTACTGCAGCCCCTTGATCCTGACAACAGTCAACTACTAAAGCTACAATTACAGCATCCAAATAAAAATAAAAAACCTCTTTAAATATTTTTAACTTCTTGCGACTGCGGTGCTGGCAACATTCGCGCGTAAAAAATGGTCATAAGGTACTAAATTTGGGAATTGTTCAATCAGTGTCAGTCATGTAAGCATATAAGTATTCCTTGAATCAAACTGAAAATATGGTTCTCTGGGTTCCTGCGGTGCTGGCAACTTTCGCGCGTGAAAAATGGCCATGGTTCGTAAAACTTGAGAATTTGCGCTTTACGGCATTTCCACTTACTACTCTGTTGACGGACCATGGAGGCATTGCATTCTAAGAATCCACCGTAAGTCTAATGTGGCAGAAAGCATAAATAGCATTTTTCCCCTTTCCCTCCCTCAATCAGGTCTTATGATATTAAGATCCAAATGCAAAGAATTTCATGTGTTCGTTTGCTTGCTCGCGAAAGAGAGACCTTTTGTTACAGTACCTAAAAAAGCACTTGAGAGGAACCCGATCGTGTGTTTCAAAGGAATCTTCTCCTAACCTCTTGAGTGTCTAGCTTTTACCCGTTCTTGTACGATGTTTTCTCCCTTCTCGCTTTCAGAAAAACGAAAACACATTTGAGGATAAATGCGCCTTTGAAAAGAAATCTTATGTTGATAAGGATTTTTATTACGTCACAGAATTTTGCTAATGAGGAGTTACAATAGAATTGGGTATTGAAAAAGATAAAGTGATCTAGTTGTAAGTTAAGGAAGGAAGATCGTGGTTTTTGTATCAGGTTGGCACAAAAAGTCCGCACAAAATTCATACTCTTGCTTTCTCACACGATTTGCTTGCTTTTAATTTCGTTTGAAAGGAAAAGTCATGCTCTTTATAAGTGCATCTTAGCAGCTTCTCGCTGAGCGTACATTTTGCAAACAAAGATGGCAGAGGAAAATTACTCATATCATGTATTCAATCAATTACTCAATCAATTTATCCTGAGTTTGGTCGTAAAAAATCATTTTACTACCTGCTCTTTCTGAGTGAGCAAAAATAGTGTCAGCTGAGCATCTCTATGAAGAGTTATGATTTTCAAGGATGCCCAAAATATCAAATTCGACCTTTTCTATCGCTTACTCGAAACTTTTAACATAGACACTCCGCAGAGACTTTGCTCGGTTAGAATCCAATAATAAACCTATAATACCGACTGTTCTTCCTTTTATAACGAGTTGCAGATCTTTTACGACCAAACTCAGGAATATAAAAATCTAAGTGATATTCTTTTACAGCTCGTTACAGTGTGTGCTCACAAGGGAATGGTCAGAAGTCGAAGTGGCCAATCCATACAAGCTGCATACCATTAGATGCAGCATAAAACGCTGACTAGAAATCTGTCTTCCTTATCTGTAGAGCGCTTTTGTGGAGCAAATTATAAGCCGTTGAAGGCCATCATTTTGCCAACTAAGTCACATTATATGACCCGTACCTAGAGGTGAGCTGAAAGAGCAATAATGTGCCTAATTTCGCAATTTTTGTATACGATTTTTTCGCAGCAGAGCTGCTCATAACTTCGCCTACAAAGGCGCTCTGCAGATACGGAAGACAGATTTGAAATCAGCATTCTATGCTGTATCGAACTGTATGCAGCTTATATGGATTGACCACTTCGACTTCTGACAACTCCCTTGTCAGTAGAAAGTCGTTAGAACGCTGATTTACAAAGCATGAATCCGTTTCGAACAAAGATTGAGATAAGACAATTGGATTAGAAAGCAAGATGTTATGAATTTTGAAAAATGGTGCAAACGGACTTTCGTGCCAATCTATTAGAATTAGTATTCAACAATTTGATCAGCACCATTCTTACATCAAATTTACCTCTTTGTGAAGTATAAATTGCTCATAATATTTAACAGTTTTTTCGAGTCCCTAAAGTGTTTGAAGTAAACAAATAAACTAAATCTTCGCAACCCTATATTGGATGAGAAAGGCTTCACATTTTTACTCCAACTCTAGCATTTAGAATTGATTCGATCGCATGTTAAAAATTTTTTTGTAAAAAAACTGTATACGGATAGTTAAAGAAAAACAACTTTGTGATAAAATCCTGGAATGAAGGGGTAGAATTCGAACAGAATGTAGAACTTGTGCGAGGCATTGTGAGTATGGTTTTAAAAATTTGAGTTTTTGTACCTAATTCTGGACCTCTGAACTAGATTTATATGCCGTTAACGAGATGAAGAACTTCTGAATGTTTGCCAAGGGCTCAAATAGACTTTCATTATTTAGAAATTATTAGGAGCAGTTTATTCACTTGTTGCAAAACCATATGCGAAAATCTCACTTATCAAGCTACTAATAAATACTCTGCTTATAACAATGTCCTAGGAGAGCTAGACTCATAAGTGCCTTCCACTTTTCGAAATCAATCATGAAGATTTGTTTTCGACTAAGATAGCAAGCATTACTTGTAGCACTGACGATTTTGAGGCAGTTTGCAAACAAGTGATCAAGCGAATGCTTTTTCGATAACGTAAACAAATTTCAGGCTCGGCCACAGGATTTTGACGTTTGTGATGCTGTTTTTGTCTTTAGCTGTCAATACTATTAGCAGGGAGTCCTAGACAAACGGGCTGCTTCCCAGCTGTCATGAGGAGATATGCTTCTTGAAAAGTAGATTATTCGTTCTCACAGTTATATTTGAGTAAAGAATTGCGCGACGTTAGAAGATTATATGAGACCGTGAAGTGACAAAAGAAAGCTTCAGGAGGATATTTAGCTGAATCCAGGGCGTGAATTGGTAGAATATTTTTGTTAGGCTCGGACGTCAAGTGGCACACAGCAGCTGATGTTTGTAAAAATAGCGCTGTTGAATATTTGTACAAAATTATTCTCCGATGAAACTACTGAAGTTTAAGAACATGTAAGAAATCAAATAATTTAGTTACATGGAAAGAACAGCTGCGAAAGAACATGCAAAAAAAAACTTTGAACAATTATTTTCTTGATAAAGTGCTCCCGAAACTAATTAGAGCTAAGCATTCGAGGTTATGAACAATCAGGCATCAAGCATGCTTCTGATCCTCTTAGGTGCCCATCTAATCCCAGTAATTATAGAGAACTCTAACGTGCAATTCTAGTCATATCAAATCACTAATCACATATTCTTCACGGCAGTAATAGATGTATTAGGGTGTCCCATAATTTGTTAGCCTCTTTACTAAAACCGTCATCTCGTCGTATTTGTCCTTCAACATATGTGGCTTGAGTAATCATTCGACGGGCAAAGTAAGTTCACCAAATGACGATGAAAAACCCCGCCCAAATCGTATTTCACTGGAAGTTTTGAGCTGAAATCTGATAGCACGAAACGAACTTTTCTTTCAAAAATCGTATCTCCGCCCCAAAATGTTTCAAAAATTCCATTTATCCTAGCATATGCTTGACACATCGCACATTCAACTGTACTATTTCCGTATTTTTTCCATGGTTAGAAATAAAGAAAAAATTATTGGTGTAAAATGGCAAACTCCGCCCCTAGACATCCTGAGCTCCTCCCATGCACGTCATCATATAGCTCTACATACTTAAGTACGACCATGTATTTGTAAACTTTGAAGGTGCCGCAGTTCTCGAGAAATGCATATGTTTAGGGTAAAAACGATAAGAAAATATGGGACACCTTAATACATGCAAATTTTTCGGTGTAACAACTCAAATACAGTTGAATACCTGACTTCAAACGGGGTCGCTGCCCTGTTTTTGAAAATATAGAGACAATCAATGGCGTTCCTAAGTTTTTTTCGCAAAGGGTTGCGGTGGGGGAGGCAAACTATCTCGAGTCAGCCATATACATATTCTTTGAAATTTTTTTGAGATAACTTCCAATTTTTCAGTACAATGACGTTACATGAGAGACAATCTTCTCTACAACATTAATCTGCATTTTTGCAAAGTTTGGAAAGTCTCCGTCATTGAAGAGTGAATCACTTGCACAATTCTATGCCTCATGAGGGCCATTCAAAATTTCAAAACAACCCATACACCATTAACCCTGACCCGCTGAAAGATAAGCGTAACGCTGACAGTTAGGAAAACTTGTCAAGTACATATAAGCTCCTAATTGTATAATGGCTACTGCTATATTAGTTATCGCTTACATACGAACAAATCATGGTTAATTATGACAATAAATGTATGAGTCAAGAATTATCCTAAGGAGCGAATACAGTAATGTGTGTACTTACGCGCTCATAGCATGGAGAGGTGATTCTAATCTCAAAACATGATTTTTTTGTGTTCATTACTCAGCAAATAATCTATTCCTGCAAGAAATTGATTAAGAATTGGCTAAGATCAGTAAGTTTCTTCAGTAAACCATAAACCATTTACGGTGAACAGGCTCTTGAACAAAATTGTCAGATGGAATGACTCTGATGAAATGAGCTAGAGGATATCGTAAGGGAATGAGGGATAGCTAATACTCCGTCTTTTTTCGCGGATGAACTTATGTTTTACTAAAATAAAGCACGAGAAAAATTCGAGACAATGTTTCTTTATCATCATTTTAAACCTTCCTTTTTGTAATCCGAAAAGTCGTGGGGTTTAATAGAATGGAAGCTTAGCTTTCCGCAGATTACTGTCAACTTCGTGACGGTCCCTATGGTCTAATACACCTTACTTAGCGCGTTTGGTAGCAACTATAATGTAAATGCAAAGCTTTCAAATCATGCGTCGGAAAGTGAAAGATAAAAACTACTGTGACTTTACACTCTCGCTCGATATTGCGCTTCCACCCTATTAGCCTAATGTTTCCATATTGCTACCCAAGTAAGATTGAGGGGCAAAAACAGCACTTAGCAATGTTAGCAGGTGTAGCTTGCGTAAGCTATCTGATTAGCTGCGCTTCTTTCTCGGTCTCGACGAAATTAATCGTTCCAGTCGTTCTTCGGCCGGACATGCCTCAGGAAAAATCACGAACGCTTCGAGTGCAAGAATGCTGGCCGTTGCGATGTCATTGTGGGCAATGCAGGTGCCTTTTTCCTCAAAAGTTGAAAGTAATTGTTTTAGGGGGCAAATCGAACTTCCTGCAAGGCCTGTCGTTACAAGCGATGCGTCAGCGTCGGTATGTCACCACTAAGTGAGTGCTTTGTTTTTTGTTTGTTTGTTAAAATGTTCTCAGGAAAGTATAACCCCATGAAATAGCTTGATCTAATGCCTTAGGCAAGGGACATACTTCAAGCGATTTCAATCGCCACGCGATCTGGCAATTTGCCAAATGTCTTCAAATTCAATACTGGTAGACCCCAAATGCACAGTATGTATAACTTTCGTAGGTTGATAAAATGCTCCATCTTCCGTACATTCAGAAACCCCGTAGGATGAGTTATGAACATTTGGAGTATTGCCAAATCGCGTGGCCACTGAAATCGCGTGAGGTATGCCCGAGACCTTACACACTTTGAAAAGCAATTTTGCTGAGAAAAACGCGGTTTGTTTTAGAATAGAATACTTACCCTTTGGACATAGCCCAACAGTCTAATTTCAAAATATCAATCATGATGGCGACTTAACAGTTTCAAAAACACAAAAATTTGATTATTTAACAAATAAAATAGCCAAGATCAATTACAGATCGCTCAGCAACATATTGATCGTGAATTATAATATCACGATTGCAGTAGAATTTTTTTTTCTTTTGAATTTTTTCCAAAAGCCATTTTCAGAGAAAATCCACGTCGTTATGATTAAGTGCATGTGTTTTCAAAACATTCCTCTGAATAAGTTCGAACATGATTTCAAAGTTATCTGGAGTACTATATCCTTTTTATGTTACAAAAAAAATTCAAAATGAAGCTCATGGATTTTTTTTTTGATATAAATACGGATGAGATTGTAGCTCTTCACAAAAGGACCAACAAACAAAAATATGTTTCATCCTGAGACTCCTTGTAGAAATTGTACGGCTTACTTTTCCACCCAAATCTGCGAAATTTCGATTTTTGAGATTTAACTTTGGGGGAACGAACTTGTTCCGAAAAGACAATGTCAGTTGGAAGAGTGCCTTAGAATTCACATCGCTAGAATATTTCATAATTTTAAAAACAGGTTACATGGAATTTTGAGATCATTTTGAAAATTTTTCTACCCCCCCCCCCTTGCATCCTACTGATCCTACAACAATGTTCGTGAAAGCATCTGCAATTTAAAATCTTTTAAGCCATGAATGTACTACCTTTCCTGCGCAGTTAATATCGAAACATATTTTTACTTTGCGACTAGTTCAAAATTGAAGTAAAAATTGCAGAAATCCTTTAAAAAATTCTATTAAAACAGAAGTGGATAAATCTCGGTAATCCAGAAAATACCTGAAATGTAAGTGATCTTCACTGTTTTTCGCACCCAGTTGTGGTCGCTAGACCCCCCAAAATCTCTTATGTACACACCTGTCCTCTATGTATGCGCATCTCTAAATTTGTCCTCATTACCGTGAGAAAACGAGGCCTACAATCGTTAATCCCAATCAGTTGACCCATGTCTTCAGCGCTAATCTCTTCTCCCTCACTGGCCCTTCACCTGCCCGCGCCGCGCCGCCATTTTAGGCGCCGCTGAAATTTGAATTTTTCAGATTCGCGCTTCGGTCGGCGCTCGAAATATTTCAAAGTGTCGATGTCTGGAGCACAGAAGCAATCAACATGTGCTCTACCGGTCCTACAACCTGGTGCTGCAGTACCTTTCCCAGCCCCGGTCATCTATCCCTTTTTTATATCGAATCTGCTTCGTATCTATGCATTGTATCACAATGATCTATGTTCTTCTCATAGTCTCTAGGATCAGTTGTCCGGTTGTCCTCGTATCTGTGCTGTTCTGTCCGGGTTGATAAATAATTCGAATTTCGAGATCGTGTTAACCTTCTCCGCGCACGAGCGAACAAAACGGGGGGGGGGGCTGCGTGTGGACGGGGGCGGGTCCGCCTCGAGGCAGTCGACGCCCGCTGGTTGCACAACTGCAGCCCCGTCGTCGTCTCGCGGCCATTGATCAGCTGCCGTTGTGCTTTAGAGCTCGCGTATGGCTTAGCAATGATTACTGTATTTGTGTATTTTTGCGTATTTGCATCGCTGCTCGGGCGGTTCGGCTTCGCTGTTGACGTATTCTGCGGAAATTTGACGATTTTCGAACAGCAGCGATTTGGCGCCAATTCGGTCGCGCTATCGTCGCAAGAGACCAGCGATTTGAAACAATGCCTCGAGCTTTGTTGCTCTGTTATAAGTGAGTTTTAATTTCTGTTTTTTCGCTCAATTTTTAATTATTTCACATTTTTTGACTTCTTATGGCCTATATCTCCCTCTCTGACATCCCTGTAATGGATAGCCGTTTATGAAGCAACATCGGCTATTCATAGCAAAGGTCGCCGCAGAGCTGCATGTATGAGCTAACGTCGTCAAGACAACCAACGACTACAAAGCAATTTACACCAGTTGCTTTCTCTTATTCGACAATGGTAACTCTGGGCTATGATTAATACATAAAAAGGGCAAACCTCGTACAAAGCCAAGTAAGGTTATGTTTATGTTAGGTCGGAAAATTGGGCACAAAAATTTTCAGCAGTGATTCCTCGAATCTCAAGCAGTTTGTTTGATTTTATAGGAAGTCGTATTTCTTTCTGCTCGAATAGGCTAGTTTTGATTTTGCTTTGTGAGTGCTCTTTCTTGAAAAGAAATTCATACTAGTTGTGCCTTTCTATGAGGTTGATATGTACATAAGCCTTGCACTGGAAATATTTAGAAAATTCGATTTCAAATGATTAGGTAATTTTTCAAAGTACATCATTTACTTTTTGTGACACAAATCAAAAGCTGTATCTTATCGTATATATGCAATTTTCATTGAATTGGAAGTCAAGACTTAATTTGAATTGTTAAAAACCATGAGATTCTTAGGAACGTCCAATCAGCACTTTCCAGGTTTTTGGTGCAGAACTTATGTATTAACCTAGTAAAAGAAGCTAAAATAATTTTCGAATCAACTTCTTTTTTGTTGTTCGGAATGAATTTCTTATCCGTTTACTAAATACAACATATGTTGTACAATAAAAGAATTACTGTATCCAGTATGAGTCGAAACGTCTTGAGCAATTATTAACAATTTTCTAAAAATTTTTGGTGCCATTTTTCACGTTCCAACTCGAAATTAAAGCGAATCTAACTCTTGCTAATTTCATGAATTTGTCCATAAAATCTGTATATTTCAATCTTGATGTTTTTTATAAAATTTTGGAAGTTAAGAGTCTTATGGTCAAATTATGTCGATATTTAAGAGTAAGAGTGGTTTTTATTTTTAATCATTCATGGAGGTTTTTTTGTTGGTGCACTGCTTTTTTGAGGTGAGAAAATAAAAGTCAAATGTAAATAATAATATCAGGTTGGCTAAAAAAGAATTTAAACCTGATATTCAGCTAAGGACAAAGTGATTCAATCCATTCTCCTGCGTTCTGCTTTTTTTTTCATTTTCTGTGAAAATAGATTAACCTAGTAAAAATATAGATAGTATTTATAGCTGTATGATTCATTGGAAAGAGTAAATTAAGGAACGTTTGATGGTTAACTGTATCCATGCAAAATTTTTTCTATCCACATTGGTGGAGGAAAATGAAAAAGACGAATTTTTTTACCTAATTTTTGAAAATTCATGCTCCTACAAGGAGCTGAAGTTATGTGCAAAATTTGATTTGGCACCAATGCATTAAATTTTCATACTCAAAAATCAATAATAAAAACAACAATGCGCTAATAGTGATATCAACAACAATAATATTAGACTATTTATCGAAAAAATATAAATAATCCAAACAATGGTAATTGAGATGAAAAAGAATGAATAATCAAAAAAATAATATTAGACTGCTTTACCTTCTTATGTCCGAGACGCTTTTACCTGAGATTCCACTGTTTTTGAAAACATCTGCTTCTTTACCTGCGAATCATTTCCGTCCCAATCTCGCTTCCCTCAGCAACAGCTGTTTTTTTCCTCAAGGACATCTAACGCCTGAATGATTTTGCGAAGTCGACTGTAATCCCCCAAATGAAATCTTCTTCTTGCAAAACAAAAGAAATTGATGGAAAAGTTGGCGGAAAAGACTTTGACGACCATGATTTTGTCTTATTACGTCAAGTTTTCTCGGCACTGTCATTGCGGATGTAATTGCTTCCTTTAGGCTTTTATGATGGGACATAAATCTGGGCCTAACAAGGAACAGAGTTTTAATGGCAAGTAAAGGAGAAGTGTCGAAATGAACTGGCTTTGGTTCTTGGTTCGTTAAAAGGGGGTGAAAGTAAAGTTGTAGAGTGTGTAGGATCATTAGTTGTATATTCTTTCAATAGAGAGAAAGAGGTTAAAAGAAAGAGAAAAAAGAAATTGTCATAAAACTTGTCTTATGCAATTTTTACATTGTTTGCAATCTCCTTTGTGAGGTTTTTTCGTAACAATAAAGCAGACATAACCTATAAAAACTCTATTCAGAAAGCGGAACCATGAGTAAACTTTTGAGAAATTCAAGCTTTATTTTTTCACAAGTAAGATCGTCATCAAAAATAACTCACTGTAGTTTTAGAGTTTTGGTTATATGTTTATCTGTATTGTAGAATCATTTTGATCCAAAAATAAATTTGGAAAATCAGTATTAACGGTTTGGAACAACTTAAACTCTTCAGAAAATTCGACTTTCTCTGTTCTTTCACCCAAAAGAGCCGTTATCAAAAATCTTCTTGTAATTGTTGGATCAATTTTGATCTATAGATAGGAATGCCATGGTTCCGGGTCTAAAAAATTCAGCAATTCAATATTTAAGTTGAAAATAAGTAAAAAATTTATAGCAGTAATAAAATCTAAATAATCAACGTGTAATAGGTAATTGTTACTTCTGCAAATTGAAATTGAAATAATTTCGTAGTTCTATTAGTACAAAAATAAGCTTTTCCAGTTTTATTTTATTATCATGGTCAAATAATTCTCAATTACAAAATCTTATTTATCTAGAAGTAGACTCTATCTCTCACATTATTCCTGATGGGAAATTCCTCAAGTCCCCATGCACTAATGCATAGTACAGATAAAGCTACTCAGCTTCATATAAGTTCATGTCAGCTAGAAACTAATAATCCCACCTGATCCCAGTATATCCCAAAGGTGCATTCCCATTTCATTTACACATTGAAAGATCCCCGTAATCCCTAGCAACTCCCTCAGCGACGAATGTCACCTATTGAGATGTGGTATAGCGTAGAGAAAAGGGATAAATTTGCATGTGATCCTCTTAGCCGTCGACTCGACTCATCGTTCCCCGATTCGATACCAAACCAGATCGTGCGTTTCACGGTTATATCACTGTTCGAATCGGACGCGCGCGCGTAGGCCTGAGTTGGCCAATGGCTAGGAAAAACCCGCGCGCGACCTTCGCGCGACCCGCGCAAATCACCACCAAATCTGGAGCGAACTCATAGTGCTACTCGTCAAGCGCTGCCATATCAGTAGCGGGTCGCCGACCCCTCGTCAATTCCTTCGAAGGCGTCAAGCGGAAAAGGCGCAATGTGAGTTTTAGTTGAGCTTCGTCAAGGACGCAGCTCCTCACAGCCTCCTCCTGTTAATGTCTTTCGGAACGCCTAGTTGGGCTAGGCTATTCCGTAGCTGTTTCATTCCGCTCCACTTTCTCCTCATAGAGGTTTAGTGCTTTGGGAAGTCGATAGGCTTGCTATATGTCGCATCTGCATAAGTATGAAATTGATAAGAAATGGGAAAAGGGATGCGAGAGAAGAGATGGGAGGCAGGAGTGCATCAACATACAGGATGGTCCACAGAAATGAGACGCAGAAAAATTTCCATAACTTTGCTAGAACTACATAAAATTATAAGGCTTCGTTTTCATCAGGTGAGTAAAAAAATTCTGTATAGGATCTAGCCATTTATGGAAATTTGCAAACTGGAAACTGCATGAAATTACAAAATTTCTTTTTATCTGATTAATAAAAAATTCTCTATAGCGTCTAGCGAAGTTATGGAAATTTTTAAAGTAGTTCTGTATAGGACCTTATAACTTTCAAGAAGCCTCTATCTTTTATAAAAGATTTTTTTTCAAATAATTCTCACGAGGGCGTGCATTGGACGGAAAGAAGAAATCGCAGTTGTGTCAAATTCATCGTTCGGACTTGAAAAAATGATATTTGGCCTTTTGACTCGCTGAGTCTCAATTGGATAACTTTTCTATCCACCTGGATGAAATAAGTCTGCTTTTGACAACCATGTCACCTCATTTGCTAAAAAGTGGTCTGATGAGACTTTGGGCCAAAAAGTAACTGCTCAATTCAAAGAATTTTTAGATGAGTTTTGAGCCAGAAAATGTTGTTACCGAAGTCAGAGGCCACTATCTCAAAAATAACCTAAAAAATTTTTACAGATTTTTGATCTATCACATGATTCCAAGAATTTTTGTTTCTATTCAGTCTGCAACTATAAATTTTTTTTCTTGCGTCACATTTCATGCTAAATGCCGTGCACTTGTCCTAAACTTAGCCATTTGACAAAAAGTATTATATCTTTGTTTGGGCTTGACGGTAGTTAAATTGAGACTATGGAAAGAAAGGGCCTTTTCGGAAACATTAATCCGAACTTTCTTTTGTCTTTGGTATGCTGCTGGCACCGATAATTTCTAAAGAGAATTTCAATTCGTGCAGCTATATGCTATAATGAGCTAATCGGCCTTGAATTTTTTTTACGCTGAATATATAGGTAGTCTGCTTGCAGATACTTATACATACTCTTGCTACATAAGAGCTATTTGAACCAGATTTTTGAACTTCTTTTCTCATTCCCAGTCTTGGCTTAACGGCATTCTTAGTATCTGGTAACTTTGTACTTCAAGTCGCTGGCAAATTTATTTTCAGGAAGCTAATGCAGTTAAACTTTTGATCCGTCCTTCAGCCTATAAATATAATCAAAACGAAAAAATTGTTCTCCGTCTTTATCTCCAGTGTCACCTGCCCGTTGACTCAATTTATAAGCTGTTATAGACAAGCTTATCGTAGATCTATTGCTTTGAAATATTTAGGTAAGATGATACCTTTCTATTTCAATATTTTTCTATCTTAATAACAAATCAGGGCACGGCACGAGATGGCTTTTGGAAAATGCAAAAAACGAAGTCCCCTTAACTTTCGCGCTTTTTACGAAGTCCCCTTTGACCAAACCTTAGACGTAAAAACCCTCAGAAAACGAAACGTCGACAAAAGAACGTCAGAATCTTTGCGTGTTTTCGGCCTCGAAAAGATATCCCCTTTGATTTTCGTCCCAAAAACAATATTCAACTTCTTTGCAAGCCACCTGTGCTGAGCTTTGATAACAATCTCTTTTTTTGAAATGCTTGAGATCAACCTGCATATTTTGAGGCAAATCATCAAGTCTTGGCAGACCTAAAAATGAGTATTTGGGGATTGACAGATGTTGAAAATTAGCTTTAATTCTTAATGTAAAGTGTGATTTGCCCATAAAATGCGTTCCTTAGACTTCTATCGTCTATTTGTAGATTTAAAACATCTTATCGCTGTAGGCATTATGCATTCAGATATGTCATAATAACTAGTTAAGGGAAAATACTTAAGTGGTCTGAATAGTATTCCGGTAAAACTAGCTGTAACAGTAAAAGAAGAGCGTTACACGAGTCTTTATCTTTACTACTTACTTCTTTAGCAGTCGCTCGGCTGTATTACAGCTAAGAATATAAAGCTGAGAAGGTACCTAATGCTCATTGCGTTTTTACGAGGCTACAGTAATTTTAGCGTTGAGCATAAAATTCTCTAAAGAGCAAAACTCATAAAATATTTGTATGTTGATTCACAAGATTAGTTCAGATAGTTTCTACCCAGCTGGCTATGCTAATTCTTCATTCAACTTTTTTTTCTAGTTTTTGTAATTTTTGTACAATTCCACAACTTCCGGAAAAGCCATTTGCAAGATTGAATATGCAGGAATGCATTTTGTAAGCTTTCTTCACTTCATTTTCATTAGTCATGGGGCTCTCGAAAATATCATTTTTAGGCTCTTGTAAAAATTTACCGTGAAGTTTCAAGCTAATTTATGTCGAAGCAGAGCTAAAAATAGTATTAGGTTGTCCGGAAATTAATGCAGGTTTCTGCATATGCAATTTCAAAAAGATCGTTCTTCTGCGTATGTGAATCTTTCGACCAATTTCGCACACTAAAAGAAGCCGCTCCTCATGCTCGCTCTTATATATATTACTCCTACGACCAACTTCATTTGTAAAAAATATATGACCATCCGAAGATGAAGCTTCAAATTACTAAATTTACCCTTTGCACTATTTTGACTTGAACTTATTCAGCAAGAGGGGTGTTTCCACGATAATGCAGCTGAAGCAAGATATTGAGTGAACCTACAAAATAGATGGTAGCGCTTCTTTTGAACAATTGTGAGAGTAGAGAAACTGAGGCTTCAACACGAATAATTGTTGCGGCCACTCTATGGCGTAGAAAACTTTTCTAAAGAAAGCAACCGTGAAAGTCTCTCCTCGTGCTTGAAGAGTGAGACCAGTGCCGTCAGATATTATCTCAACTGGTACCTCCCAGGCTTTATTTTTGGTGAGTTAATAAAAAATCAGAATTATCGGAAATCGCAGCCGTGGAGAAAATATCGAAAAAATGGAAAATTTTGATTCCGCAAATTTTTCTTTCGCAGAAAATTTCTAAAAAAATTTCTGCATAGCTATATATGTAGTACTTTTCTGCGGCTATAAGCTGCAGAAGTTTTTGGCTGAACACTCATATTCGGTAGGGGTTTACAACTTGCCAAGTATGACCTTGTCAAAAAATTTCTATTTACTTTCTGGCTCTCAGTAATTTGCTTGTTGGAGCTACAGGTACGAAAGAAAATGCTGCAAATGGAAAAAGACCTGCTGAGCACAGTAATTCTTACCTCATTTCAAAATATGCGATTTCAAAGGAGTTATGACGCTTTGAAGTGAGAATATGCAAAACCTGCATTAATTTCCGGACAACCTAATACAATATCTATTTAGATCCCTAAACACATTTACAACAATTTTTCTTCTTGATTGTGATTTTTTTGTGATTATGCGGTACGAATTTGCACGAGTTACCCCACTGTAAAGTAGTTTTTTTTGTTCGAAAATAAGTTTTAAACAAAAAAAAATTAGAAATTGAAAAAACTCAAAACATTTGTACAAAAATAAAACTCATTAACTCCAAATTTTTACATTTTGCATACTTATTTGAGCTTGAACTGTGGATGATCTTCACACAAAAACATTCCATATTCCACAAAATTGAATCATTCGATAAAAATCGTAAAGTCTGTAAGGGGTGGTTAAAATGTATAAGATAAAGTAAAGAATCAATACACCAATGTTTTTGGGATTTTCGTCTTTTGCAACAACCATTTACTTTTATTCTACAGACTGCCGAGGAGTGACATTCACTGGTGTTATAATACCTCATAAAGGAGAGCCGAATTGCCTTTTGGTCGCATGTCGAGGAGAATCTTGTGAAATGAACGAACGGGCAGAGTATAGCGACGGGTTAATCTCCGTACTCATCGACAGGACTCAGGTAATTGCTAGAAATCATATTTGTTGCCATAATTACTCGGTTAAGTACGGTAGTGAGCTTTGCTTTCACCGCTAAACGTTTTTTGGTCACAGTTGACCCACTCATCAGTCTTCTTCGCTTTCTCTAATGCCTTGGTTGATTGACAATAGTATAATTGTGTGAAACTGCGTCAAACAGAACAGACTAGTTATCCCACGTAATGTACACAACGGCTGCTTGTGAAGCTTTTCTGGACACTTGACCAAATATGGTGTGGCTCTGTGGTAGCCAGTACCCATGACGCGCGCACGCGGCACCAGCCTGATGTCCACCATATTAGCCGTTTATTTACCTGCTAGCTATGCTCAAGAGGTGCTTGTGTGAAATGCTTTCGCTTTGGGAGATCTCTGAGGGCTGGTATTCGGCTGGTGGTATGCCAACATTGGTCAGCTGAAGTGGTTTATGGGAGCTGAGCCGGCAAACTTTGCGCTGTTTACCGGTATTTGTATGATTCCGTAAAGTCGGCATTGCTGTGTTCGGAATGAGGGATTTCCAGTTGCACGATATGCGCACAAATGTAAAAAAGCTGATTTCTCTTAAACATTATAACACAACGAATATTAGGCTATTGCATATTTCCTGCTCATAAATATTCAAGCATTCGCAATTTTTTGTGGTATTGAAGTTTTTATTTGAGTCGCCGCCACGATAGCTTAGAAAAAGAAAAGGACACACTTTTCGAACATTTTTTATGCGAAAATCACACTGAAATTTTTCGGGGATACAACCTGTTACGAAAAAGTCAAATTGTGGTTTCCAAATTTTGCTGAAAGTGCTGAAAAACCCGATATGATTATTATTTTAGATTTTTTTCGTGATTTGTTCTATTACATAAAAAATTCGTGGTAATTGTATGCATCTGCAAGTGTAATGTACTGATGCTATTTCACTTTTGGCGGAATTTGTCACAGGCTTTGTAGAAAGAAATGGTCATAAAATTTCTTGAATTCTTCTGCCCTTGCATTAAGGAAAGATATTCTCTTTGAGTAAACAAGTGCTCTACACAAAAAGTTCAGTTTGTAGGACTTTCCTCATGAACTTTGAACGGTTTTAGGCGATTTTCTATCTGGTGCCACAAAAAATTTCGAAATGTTTGCATATCATTATTAACACTCTTAGAGAATGAAAAAATTCTGAGAAAGAAAGAAGGATTCGGCAAATTTTCACCTTTCAAAAGTTTTTTTTTGAAAAAAAAAAAGAAGATGTTAAGAATTATCGTATAATCAAAGAGTCGTATTTATAAAAATGGAATATGCGAGTGAAAAACTTGCATTTTTTGATGTACGAAAACGCAGAGATTAGGGTTAAGAAATGAGGAGATTATGGAAACTATGATTTTATCCAATGAAGGTGACTTGCTTCGTCTCCTATTCCATCAAAAAATTTTTCCTTGTAAGAAATGTTTATAAACAGTACTTTATTGATAAAATCTTTACAAGTATGCGGTTGCTGTAAGTGTCATATTCTACAAGTGCACATATTTGTTTTGCCCATCCAGCTAAAGCTCCGAATGCGCTCGTGAGTGTCGGTTCGAGTCGGTTTGACCCACGTCGAGCATTTGCGCTGCGTTCAAAACAATCTGTGTAGTTTTTTCCTTATCGAGACGGGAGTTGCTGCTTCGTGCAAACATTGTTCTACGAGCTCATCTTGTCGCGCTCCGATCGTCGAGAGCAGCACAAATCCGCTTGCCGACCTTCGTCAAGCTTAGCCAAGCAACGAAAAGCGCGAGAGGGGGGAGGGTGAATTTTGAAGGTTACGTGGGATATCGTCTTTGTACAGCCGTAGCAAGGCACGGAGGGTAACCTGACCCTGTTTTTGTTCATCTGCGTCCTCATACAAAATGCCAGAGTAAACATTACCTCGACCGACGATTTCACCCCTCTAAAAGGTGGTGGTGAATGAAAGCAACGTAATTGAAAGGGCATGTGCAGTGGCTAGGACTAGGTTAATGCGTTTAAGGAAAAAAACGGATAACTAAGCGAATAAGCTTTGACGAGAAAAGAAGTCATCTCACAGGGTCATCTCAAGAGTAAACCACTTTTTTGAACTGATTTCTTTGCATTTGCTCAGTCAAATGTATATTTACAACCAATATATGGATATCTGTGAACATCGTCATTTTTAGCACTCGCAGATTTTTCGATACTGAGGTTTTTGTCAAGCAAACATCATACATTTTTCCTTATTCGAACTCTATTGAATTGTTGCATTGCAATTTTCTCGATCAAATATATTAAATTATAAGCAATTTGAGGGTGCTGTGGCTCATCATGGCATGCTTTGCCTTCGTAAACTTTTTGTGAACGAAGTTTATTGAGAAAACGTACACTTCTTCCATATTTCCTTTTAGAACTTATTTTAGCTGCAAAGTGGCTGAGTTCCACTCATGTGATGAGCAGCGTTTTACAGAGTTTACAAAGTTGGATGCAGTTATTTTCAAAAAAATTCTTACTTTTTCAAAAAAGAATAACGGGAAAGATCCAAGAAAAAGCACATACAACCAGTTGAAGGAGAAGACTAAGCATAGTTCTGGATCGGTTGATCTCGGAATTGATTGTTGTTCAAAGGAAAGAATAAGAGCACAAAAAAGCTTGGAAAGAGTTTTTGAGATAACCTCAATAAGCTGCGTATTTCGCATTTTTGAGGTCCTTGAAAGGTTACCATATTCCTAAAATGTTGCCCATATTTCGATCAAAAATTGAGAGGAGCGATGCTAGAAATAGGGTGCATTGTAATATTATGAAATTTTGAAAACTCATTTCGGGGTGGATATATAATAATTTGGGATCGAAAAAAACTAAGGAGGCTGGTACCAACATTTGGGGATTTCGGAAAGTTTATGAAGTGCCTGAATCAAACCCTGTGTTAGCTTTCATGAAATGTTGCAAATTTAGCTTCTGCGCGGAAATCTCACGGATATGACTATGGAAAGCTAGTAACCACAAAACGAGATCATCTGTTGTTAGCTACGTAGCAAAGCTCGTATCCACAATTCTATTTTTGCGTGCACAGAACACAAGGACAAATTCGTATCCAAAAACAATTTTGTGAAAGCCTACGCTTGAAAGTAATTTTGCTTCCAAAAATCGAAGAAACACTACAATTAAGCCCATAACTCGGGTGAAAAGAACGAGGTCCAGCGTATTACCCGCGGCGGAATCGTCGGAGGGTCATAACTCTGTTCAAATTGATTTTCACAAGTTTTTGTGCTCATTTTTGGAAAGCTACTTGCACAAGGAATCAGAAAAACATAGAATTCTCCAAAATCGCTCGTTGTCAAGAGATTCAGAACCATCGTGACGGAATTGCCAAAGATAAACAGCGCATGGTCGTAACTTAGTTTGAAGTAAGAATTTCGGATTTCTGTCTGTATTTTTGAAATGTTAACATCACAATGGTTGGAAAGACTTAGCAATTTTTGAAACACTTTTTTGAGGGATTTCAGCAGATTTGCGGTACAAAAGTCGCGACGAAACTGTGCACGAGACCATGTACTCTAGTATGAATATGGGCAAGCCATTCCAGACATTCCAAAAATTTTGTATCAAGTACCTGCTTTTGGGAAAATAATCATAGGATGGCGGAAGAAATTGATCAAGCCAAGGGTCTGAGAGCCATAAAAGCGTCGGAGGAATACTTCAACAATTTTAAAACTGTAATGTTCTCAACATGAAATCTTACTTGATTTCGGTAGCTTCAGCCAGCTCTTCACTGCACTGCTCGAATCTATCTATTATAATTATTAGATTGTCTCATAATTTTTTACCGTTTTTATCCTAAACACTACAAAGAATCCAAATACATGATCGTACTTCTGTATGTATGAGCTATATGATTACATGCATGGGAGGAGCTCAGGACATCTAGGGGCGAAGTTTGCAATCTTGCCTCATTCATTTTTTTCTTTATCTCCAGCCATGGAAAAAATTCGGAAAGTGTATAGTCGAATGTACGATGCGTAAAGCATATGCTAGAATAAATCGGGAATTTTTTGGATATTTTGAGTCGTAGATACGATTTTTTAAAGAAAAGTTTGTTTTTGACTACTATCAGATTTCGGCTCAAAACTTCACGTGGGATGGGATACGATTTGGACAGACTTTAGATAGCCATCTTGTAGAGCTTGCCTTGCTCTGTCGAATGGTTACTCAAATCACGTCAGATGAAGGAAAGATACAGAAAAACGGCGGTTGCAGTAAAAACGGTAAAAGATTATGGGACAACCTAGTAGATTAGCTAAGAAAAATGTCTCATTTTTCTTAGCTAGTTTTTTCTAGAGTATTCCTAGACATCTGAGTCATTACATAGAAAGACCTCAAAAAGGCTTTTTCGAGGGGCTAACCTCAATTATGGAGTGTTTCTGCATTTATTGACCTTTTCAATTCACCTCGTTTCCTTGCACTCCATTAATGCTAGAAGATCTCGGATGGCGCTGAAATAAAAACACAGCCAGAAAATCGTCATAGGAAACGCTGCACCACGTATGACTCCTAAAGGGGTTATTTTATGGCTGAGCAGTTTCCGTTACCGAAGGAAGAAGGACTGGGGGGGGGGGGGCAGCGTTAGTTAGAGAGCAAGGGATAAAAGTTTGATGTTAAAATGTAAAGTACAAACACCTTCTAGTACCTTTGATTCAGCTGACGGCTGGAAGGCCACCGCTCGCACCCGCGACGCAGTCTGCGTATCTCTCGCAAGCGTGCTCTCTGATCATTCCCTAACTCTGATTAGGCCTCGAAGCCCCGCCTTCCAACAGCTAATCCCTTTGAATCAAGGGGTGAAAAGTGAGGGAGCGGCTTGTAAAATAGTACGTAGAGAATTTGTTTTGATTATAATAGGAGCAAGAATGATTGGCATACTTTCAAAAAAATTTTTTTAGGTGGAACCAACAGTTTCTGCCAACTTTTCGCTATTGCATTCGACTACAGTGGCATTTGACGCTACTACGACAGATGCATTCGAAACCTCTTCACCGATCTATTCTACCGTAACCCCATTCGGCTCCAGTACGGTACCTTTCGAAGAAAACACGACTACCGCCACTCATAAAGCTTCTTCAATGGCACTGGCCCCTGTATGGGCAGTGGGGCTGGCCATCGTAATCGCAGTGGTTTGTGTTGGGCTGAATCTCGGCTTACTCTCAGCTTACATCTGCTATCGACGACAGAATTCACGGAAGCATACGATGCAAATCACGGCCAACAAAGGGCCGACGCTGCACGCCTACAATCCCACAATCTAAATGCATTTTCCTCGATTTAGTCAGCTTTGTTTTTCTGTGATTCCATGTCGACAGCATTAATCGAATTGTCTGTCTATTTATGCAAAATTTATGAATATGTAAATAATGTCGCTCGCTATTTGCTTAGTGCGTTGTGTGTTCGAGTGTGTACTGTGTTTGCCAATTCAAATCTTTCAGCTCTTGTTTTTTCTTCAAAATGTCAAGTATTTGCACATGTTCGTCCTATTCGATTCGCTATGTCCCAGTTGAGCTTTAGCACACACGTTAGTGGACTGTATTCGCGCTCTCAAAAGTACGGGTAGGGCACTGGGCAGACAGTGCAAATGACTTTCTTGCCTTGCCTGGGTAGATATGCTTGTGAATAAATAGTTCTATCATATAGTGTGTAATACTGCGCTACAAAATGAAATTTATATCAAGTTGGAAAGGAAAGAATGTCGTTATAACAAGCCAACAAGACGATTATGAAAAAAATATGGGCGGAATATTCGATAGAGCAGCGAGCTCTACAAAAAACCTTTGAATGTTGGTGTGAGTCGTGATTCAGGCAAATTTACAAGCCAAAACATAAGAGCAACTTATAATGACAAAATCGGATTTTTGCTATAAAAACTCCCACAAATCTCCCATTTGTTCCTGCATGTAGCAGACACATGCACTTATCCAATGTACCCTGGTATATTCCTTTCGTGTTTACGAATCAGAAAAAAAAATTCAGAAACAAAAATTGCCAAACTCCGCTCTTAGTAGTCTTAGGCTCCTCCCATATACACATATGTATACTACAGACCTTCGGAGTTCTGTTCATAGAATGTCGGCTTTGTAGCTTTAGTTCCTAAGAAATATAAAATTTAGCTGGAAAATCTCAAAGAAAACGACATTCTTTTCTTCCTAACCTAATTCAGGTGGTTACAGATTGTAGTGAAAACATAAATAGAAGGGTTCTTAGTTAGTAGAACAAACGATTGAAATGATTTAGTATCATTTGAAAGAACCTTTCTTCCTCCTTTACATAGAGTTTTCTCATAAAAAATCCATTGTATGGACGATGAGGAGGTACCGTTCGATGGCGATGAGGAAAGAAACAAAGCACATCGATGATGATTTGAATGTCTCAAGACAGCTTATGTAACGTAAATACATGCATTTTCTGGAAGCGAAGAACAGGGCGATTCCAATGACACATTCCATTCCAAATGTTCTAGCAGCTCATGTACAAAAGTTATTGGATTTTATCGTCGAACCTTTGAAAATCGTCAGTGGACATAAGGTATTTTGAAAAACCTTATTCATGAGATTCTAAGCTTGACTGTCGATGAATCTTGCCACTGTTGATTTACTACTCATTGTTCTCTTGCAGTACTTTACCGAAAAAGACTAATGCTTTTGATTAAGCCATTACCTTCTTCAGAGTGTGAAAAAGTCGAAAGTCACATCAGCAAAGTATACTACCAAATGTCGATTTCAGAGGAGCCCAACACTCTTAAAAATCAACGCTTGTAAATGCAAACATCGTATTCATGAAATTCCTTATGGGTATTTTAACGTTATTTATGCTGTTCATTGTTCCTAACATGCTCGATGCAGCTATTCAACGACTTTTTAACAAATCACTAACTTAATTGTGCAATCATTAGTTGACTCTGATCCTTACCGTTAAGCTTTGAGATGAAGTGGTCTATCTCTTTTTTTCACTCTCTGTTGCCTTTTAAGGCACTTATTTCCAGCCTATTTTGTCAAGCACGCCTTCGCAATTCAATAAATAACTGGATAAAAATAAAAAACAATTCTGCTGACAGGAATACCTCACCATGCCCCTTTATTTCGGCTTCTGGGTTGAAGAAGCTGAACCAGGTGAGGGCCAGGTAAGGACGTTGATTAGCAGTTATGATCTCCATTTATGATCAAGACACAGTGCAAGATTGAATTTTGAGGGATGCCAACTAGAAAAAAATAAAAGCGTAGCTTGCACTACCCAAACACTAGCATTTTTTAATGACTTTGGTATTTTATAAGCTGTTCAGGAAGATTATTTATTGTGCTAGTTATGAGAAAGCGTCTACCCAGAGGAGCGTTACTTTAGGACAGTTGCATGGGAGAGCAAAAATTGTTGAGAATCTGTTAGAAAATGTGACAAGCAGTATATTCTTTGGCTTCTTACGGTTAGATTATAGAACATATAAACAAGATTTGACCGTGAACGAATAAAATTCAAAAAGATATAAAGACTGATGTAGCTACATGCAATATGCAGCATATGAAGTCAGATGCAGTAATCAGAAATTTCGTAGGGTCCACAAGTTGGGATGAGCAAACAAAATGGATCCTCTTGTTTGTTTCGAAGTATGTGGAAGTCCGGCATTACTGTAAGGTTTAGGATGTAAGCGAGGTCCGCTTCCATCTTACGCTGGACTTTCTCAAAGTTTTACATCAACTTGTCAGAGTAACGATGGCGACCTACACATGCAAAATCGGACAAAGAGCAAAGAAAATGCTTCACAAATGTACGACTCAAATTTCTTAACTTTATTACATCAGCAGGTAACATAAACATCTGCTTAAAACGGTTTTTGATCTTAACAACTTAGGTACAAAAAGCTAAGTCGAGCATTTTGCTGAATTTTTAGATGCAAAAATGATGTAAGTTTCGCAAAGTTTCATTTGGACCAGCTATAACTTTGAAAACGATGCAAGATCATATCTGCAGAAGAAAAAAGACGCGACGATCATCTGAGTCAGGTGACATCATCGTACCGTGGTCATATCTCACTTCAGAGTGGGCGAAATATGAATCCAAAGATTCACCTCGATGAAGCTCATTTTGGTCATATAAAGGCTGTATAGAAATGGTGTGCGCAAGGTAGGCAGCCAGACACGTTCGAATGAAATTTTTGCTCAAAGTAGATTAGTCAGTCTTAATCAAGCACCCCAGTAACCTGAATTCGAAAAAATCTGCGAAATCTGGCTCACTACCGTGCGCTTACCGTGACCAAATAGGCAGCTCCGTAGTATATCGAAAGATAGCTGGATAGCTTGTCTAGCTGAATCGAATGGTGCCATTGATTCAGATTCCGACCATTCCGACCATTCTGAAGCGAATTATAACCATGCTATGGTGATATTTCGCTTCAGAATGCCTTGGTGATATTACCTAACTCAGATGACGGTCGCGTCCTTTTTGCAGAAATTATGCAGTATTGTATTCTCAAACGCAAAAAAACCACCAAATCAGCAAAATTTTCAAGTTTTTTGCAACTCATAGCAGACGTTCATAGGTGCTAATATCAGAAACGAGAGAAATCCAACCCTGGACTGCAGAACAAAACTTTTTCTCTATAACCTCATTCTTTTCACTGATAATTACCTTCGAGATTGGTACTACTTGTGATAACTAGCGTATCGTGTAGCCGCAAGCCAATAGTATGTTCGTGAATGAAAAGAGCAAGGTAAAAGAGACCAGCAAGAAAAATGTGAAATTGTAAGCTTTTTGAGCCTTTTTGTGGCGGGTCTGTAAGTCTGGGAATTTTTCGAATTCTCTGATTCTTTTTCATTGCACAGCTTAATTTTCTTTGCAAAATGTGTTAGCAAATTGCTCTGCTCTTCTCTTATTGAAAGATGAGCGTATCTTGGCTACTGCCTTCTTCAGAAAAACCTATCCCATCTTGCAGAGTTGATTTCTCAGTCTCAACCTTCTGAATAAATATGACCAATATCCCCTATGTGTCCGCAAATAATGTTGATGAATCAAATTTACAAATTCTCAAGTCGTGCAGATGAATAGCAACGAGGTTGAAACCTTCTCTTCCTCCCAAATATTGAGTTTATCTGGGCTCCACTACTGAAATACTTTGTGAAGAGAAAATGCAGCGATTTTTAGAGGTTTAGAGGTTTTCAAACCAAATAATCCTTTGACTTTTGTTGATGAGCAGCTAGAACAATGCGAATAGTGTTAACGCAATCACGTTGTCCTTTAATTTTGGTATGCTTTATAAATGAGCTGTCTCAAGGCATTTATACCTTCACCAATCTAGCTTTGTTGCTTTCCATTTTGCCACTCAAACGATACCTCTATGCACTTATACAAAAAGTTGTGTCGGATTAAAAAGGAAGCAAAGATCTTTTAGATTTTATCAAACTGATAGCGATCATTTTTAGTTGAAAAATAAAATTTGAGTTTTCGAAGTGATTTTTGAACGCATAGTAGAGTATTTCTATTTCAACAGCAGCCTTTTTTTTTCAAAATTCCTTAGCATTCATATCCTGAAAAAGTGGAGAAGAAATTCTCGGTAATTTAATGGTAATTTTCAGACCTATTTAATGATTAGTTGGATAAGTCATGAAAGGAACTTTCGAATGGTTGCAAAACCTGTTCAAAGAGAAAATTTTGATGGAGCTTTCTATTCAGCCTTTGATAAAGGCGGCACCCGAAAATTCACCCACTTAAGCTCCAAAATTTCACTCCATAATCTCTTGCTAACTACACAAGAACGGGGATTATTAAACCATTTTGAATTGTTTTTTAGTCATATTCCATATTTATAGATCGAATTTGTTACAAATGCCTCAAGATCGACATCAAATGAGCGGATTTGTGATAATGGACTTGCTGCTTACATTGCAATAACAATGATAGCAAGAGCGATTTTCGACTTTCAGTCAGTGCCAGTCACTGGCTCACACAATGAAAAATTCTCTATTATTGAAGTCCATAATCGTATTGGAAGTGCACACTGCTGAGCTGTTTATGAAACTAAGTAATTTACACAAACATACAATGCCAAGTGAACAGCTTTGTCACCGACAAATGCTTATGAAGCTCAAAATTGAAAAACAACCGAAAATATCAAGAGTGTTCCATGGCTGCTCCAACTTATGCTATTCTTATTGTAAGTCAATTAGCACTCCTATGCAAATACAATTCATTCCTAGCTTATTCTCCATGTAAGCTTTGGTGATTATGCAAGCAGAAGAGACTGCGACAAGGAACTGAGAAAGACATC